TTTTTCTTCGATATGCCCGAAGCCCTAAGTCTTCATTTAACACCCTTTTCACCGTGGTTCTGCTTAACCCCATCTGAAGGGCCAACAGTTTCTGCTTACGTTTGGGATTTCTTTGAATTCGCGCCTTCACAGCTTTTATCACTGCTGGAGTCCTAACAGACCGAAGGCGACCACTTCTTGACCTGTCATCTACACTAGAGTCTTCATTGTATCGTTTGATGGTACGATATACGAATCTTTTGGTTATATTCAAATTTTTCAGTATGTTAAAAATTTGAATTGGCGCGTAACCGCAACGATGCAACGCAATAACTGCAACACGGTCTTTTTTAAGCGTCCACTCCATATTTAAAAATGAGTAAAATTCTAAAAGTATACATTTTTATTTTCATGAACAATTCGAAATTCGAATTCAATAAACTTTTTTGTGGCCAGCATTCTAAAAGAAAAGTTTTTACTGTGTGACAATACTTATGACCTGACTAGGTACAACTAAAAGTAAATGCTAAAATGCCGCCCCAGGGTAAGTGCCGCCCGGTGCGGACCGCACCCACCGCCCCCCCTTAGGTACGCCACTGGGTTCACAGAATCTAAATGTTCTACATTGAACCGAGAGTAGAGAAAGTGGAAACTGTGGCTCAAGTAATAGTGTCCTGTGCTGTGGCTTATTGTCATAAAAAATAGCGGCTTTTTGGCGGGAACGCGAAGACTGATGTTCTGTGATTTGCTTTATTTTGTCTATTTAGTGTTTCTTCGGGTTTAAATGTGTAATAACGGTGGTTTATTAACTGTTCAATATCTGTGAAAGTGCACAAATGTGGGAAAATGAAACAAAGCGGCTGGACGTAACTTCTTGGGATCCTCCAAAAAATCTACTGAAGATATCTCAGTAAATGAGCACCATTTTACTGAGATTATATGTCATCCCATATCATCTTATTTCATTTCATCCCAGTTGATTAAAGTCTCAAATTAATCACCTTCATTTCATTTCATTTTACTCCGTAATATCATTTTTCATAGAAATAAGAATATAAATTAAAATAAGACATGACCTAAAGGTCTTAGTTACCAGGTCATAAAATCCCTTAAAAAAATAACTTAGAGGTTATGTTGTCACTTGTCACTGTTAAAAATTTACGATATGTAATGGGTAATTGGAAGAAAATTGAGATAAATTCGATTATTTATAGTAATTTAAAAAATATTCCTGTTTGGTATTTAATAAGCACGTGACGCTCGTGTTTAGAACAATTATCCTCTAATACAATATCAACCCACATCTACAACCACTAAAACTGAGAATGTCATCATTAAAAAAAAGTAAAACCGCACATTTAATAATGCCGAAATAATTGTAATAGTTTCGTAAAACTGCTATATATTATCATTCATAATTTTCAGTTCTTTTAGAGCCTCGAGCATGTTTAGTCACAGCAAAGAGGTTTCGAGGGAAAATAAATATTCAAAGGCCAAGGCTGCCTCATTTCGAACGGCAGCTACTACTTGATCTATCAAAACCTAAATATGGTCCGCCCAAGTACACATTACCCGACTTTTTACTTTGCGACAGAGGAGAGAAAAAGAATAAAACAGAAATTGACAATCCCTTCGAAAGGATTTTGGCCAGAGAATGTTTGGAATGGTTTAATACATCCAAAATGATTGTGTTCTTACATGTAAACCCAATAACAATGGAGGACAAGACGCCAGTTTACGCTGCCTTAAATAAGAATAAAATGTATTTAAGAACCTATGGAAAAAAAATTGTAAGCCTTGCAACAAAAGGAACACGCTACGAAGTTGTCAATGAACTGTTTACCTCACATCAAAATATTATATTCGGTCAACCTGAAAATGCTGCAAAAATGTTTAAAATTTTGAAAAAAGCTCCACAGTTGGTTGTCATGGGTATGAAAATTAATCCACTTTTAAAAAATTACAAAAAATTGGTTGTAATATTATTGGTTTATATATACTGTTCCTTCAATTAAATTTTAAATGTTCTGTAACTAAATTATATCATTAAAATTTTCTTTCAGCTGGTGTAGTACAAGATCGTCTACTTTCAAAGAATGAACTTTTAGAGTTCAGCCAACTTCCAACCTTAGATTTGGCCAGAAGTAAGCTGTGTCAGGTTTTAGACAGTGCAGGCTCAGGTCTGGTCAGTCAATTGAATCGGAGTCAGCAAATTTTGGTATCCCATTTAGACAAACATGTTGAACAACAAAATTCAAGTATAGAAAAAAATGAAAAGCAAGAAAGTTAAACGTTTATAAGCCTGTTTTAAAGCAAACTACCTTACATTTAAGGGGGTAATATTTCAATTACTCCATTTAAAAAAATATAGGATTTTACCATAGAATTATTTGATAGTTTGTTTTCATTTATTTAATTACAGTTCTCCATATGGCTAAGCACAAAACATAATTAAAAATACTGTAGTAATCATTTTCAAATACAGTAAAATTGCATATCGATGCTTGAAAGGCAAGCGTGTCTAAGCGACAATAACTGCTTTGTACATAAATGATAGGCAATAACCATATTCGATGAGCAAAAAAAATATATTTCTAGGTCTATTAAAATCATTTCAATCCTACAGCTAGATTCGTTAAAATAGAATTTTTTTCAGGTATTTCAACTTTAAATTAGTCTACTGCAAAGTTCACGCATTGTCGCTTAGTCACGTTTGCTTTTCAAGCGTAGAATATTATTATTTATATCGCTGCAAATATTATCAGAAATAGGTAAAAATTTATCAAAAGCCTAAAAATTTTGTCAACAATTTACTTATTTCTTCTGGCTTCCAGTGGAGTACTATACCCATCTTTGGGCTGGGGGATACTGGTTATCAGCAACTTCCATTTGACTCTATGTAGAAGAGAGCCATTCGAATCATCCACAATCCCATTTTCACAGACTATTTGGAACTTTTGAGTCTATGGAGGGACATTGGTTCTCACTGTGTCTTTTACTGTATGTTCTATGGGAAGTGCTCTGAAGAATCATTTGAGATGATCCCATCATCTCGTTTTTGTCATTGCATCGCCCACCACTGGAGCAGAGTTCATTCATACTGGCTGTGCCTGTGGCATTGCTCCGACATGATGAGCGACAGTAACCACTCACCATCAGATGGTCTGTACCAGCTGATATACAACACAATCGGAATTCAATCTCACGTCTAATGGTAAGTCAGGCCATTGTGGGTATATTAGTAATGTGGCGGGTAGCCATTTTACAACGCAAGATATTTGACAGATACCTGAATCTCGCTTACGACATTTTCAAGATAAGTTCGCATATATACAAGTTCCGAACAACCACGTTTGGACCGTCGCGTCGGTCTACCGAGCAAATATCACCCGCTCGGTGGAAGATCTTCCCTTTGTCGTATACTCCTAAAGTAATCATAATACATTTATTTATTCGAGTGACCAGGATAAGATATGGTATTATGATACTGTGAATTTCAGAATTCACGTGGGCTATGAATATGTCCATCACTCCCATCAAATTGAAATGCACTATCATTTGATATTGCACAAAGCAAACATAATATTAATATCATTATCTGAGATGGGAAGAGATAATGAATTTTGTATGAGCAACTTTGTTATAAGTTACTGATTATAATCCTATGATGTAGGAAAAAAATCTCTAGCTGATTTTAGTCTCAGTGATCATGTATTACTATAAAAAATTCATAGTAGTTTTTTTAATTATACTAGTAATATACTGTACTCTCAAGTGAATAACCCTGGTCATAGTTCTCGCCGAACCCATTGCTTGCGACGAAGGGCTCGGCGAGTAAATTAACCCACAGACAGCCCACCGAGTTTCTCGCCGGATCTTCTCAGTGGGTCGCGTTTCCGATCCGATGGTAGATACTGCGAAGCAAGACTCTTGCTAGGGTTCGTGTTAGCAACGTCAGAATTGAGCCTCGTGAGCTCACCTACAAGTTAAGGTTATGCTGATATGGTCTCTAGACCATCAGCTTAGGTAGAAAAAAAAAACGTGAATAACTCAATTCTTGCCGTAAATAAACATGCGCAATACGAGCACGACAGTAACTCATGTAATGATAGTTTGTATAGCAGCAAGCAAAAGAAGTAGGTATATCTATAGGGTCGCTATTACGAGATAAAGGTCGAGTCTTTATTCGTTCACACCTTCGTAAATGAGTCGACTATTATCAAAGCCGGCAATGTGACTTTTGGACAATTATTGGTAAATCAGAAAAACGAATTATTGACTTTGTATTCCATTGGCAGTCACAAAACTCTTCTGAACGACATCTTGGATAAATAACAGGTTAAGTATTAACCTTTATTTAATTATATATATATATTACCTTTATATATATATTAACGGTTTTGAACCGTATTCTTCGAAGGAGACGATTATATTCAAATCAATCTGTATTGACATATCAATAACATTTTTTTGTCCAAATGCACAGATTGCCACCTTTGATAATAGACGACTCAAATGTTATTTTCATTTATGGCGCTAGGATAAGAGTATAATATTATTTTAACGAAAGTTTGACAATATGTAACGGGCGGATGACAAACGAAAAGGTAGGAAATGAGGTAGTAGGTAGAAATGAGGAGGATACCTAAAATCAAAGTATAGAGTGACTCAAACGTGAATGAAAGTGAAACGGAGCGAGATGCGGTAGGCAGCGGCTTGGCTCTGCCCCTGGCATCGCTGATGTCCATGGGCGACGGTAACCACTCACCATCAGATGGGCCGTATGCTCGTCTGCCTACAAGGGCAATAAAAAAAAAAGATAATAGGACTATTAGACCGTTATTCTTTGGATCTAACTTTAAAACATTAATTGATACAAAACTCGCAAGAAAGTTTCGATTAACTTTGTTTAAGAAATTTCCGTAATATATTAAAATAAAAAGAAATTTATTTAATTTTTAAACAACGGATGCACATAAGAGTAAAAGGATATTAGTTATTTAGGCTATCGGTGTATTTATATTACTATATTTAATTCGAATACCGTAAAAAGAGCGAAATACACAACACCAAAAAAATCGCATCCGTAAAAAAAAAGAAACAGTCCTTCAGTTAGAGTCGAGAAAAATTCAGGCACGCGAGATTTCGGTTTTTGCTAAGGCTATAACCGGAAAAAAGTAACAATGAAAAAAAACTATTTTTTAATATAGTTACGACAAACGAAACGATAAAATATACCGTAAACAGTGAAGAAGCCAGCAGGCATAAAGAGCCAGGTTGGTTATAATTCTTGCATCATTCATGGCTGGCGAAAGTTTCAGATTCTTGCCCGATTGAGGTTTTGAAACTTTTTCACAAAAACCTCAATGTGTGTTTTTGTGAACGAACGTCTACGAAAATACCTACAATCAATATAAAATATGTAGAAACTATTTCTCGAACAATGATCGAAGACAGCACTGCCTATTCCAAAAGTTGCAGAACTAGCTGGATGGAGCGATCCAGGAATCAACTAAATCAGGTACAATTTGTGGATTCTCCGGCTTTGCGAATCAGGCCTATGGAATTACACAGCTTGTAATATATTTATGACCGAAAACTTAAAATCGACTTCAGCAAAATATGCAATTTTTAACTTCTTCAACGTTGTATCAATCTACATTCAACTACGTTTGTTTTCACAGCATTCATACAAACATGAAAAGTCATAAACAAATCAATGAAGTATTTGTGACAGAACTTAAGACAGCAAAGATATTTTATAACGAAAAATAAGAAAAAATAATAAAATCAAAAAATGAAACGGGAAATATCTGTATTGCTTATTCTGTTTCGACCCATATGGAAAAATGTTCTAATGCTTACTATATATTAATAATATTTGTATAAGAAAAGAGATTAACGTACTATCAAAAGTCACATGACTTTTCCAACAACTATAAAAAAAAGTACTGCAGAGTCAAATAGCCACTGAAAATATACGCTATAATTGAGGAAATAAATTAAGTGCTTGCGTTTCGTCGTATCGGAGGATCGTAAGTAATAAAATTATATTTATGTGTAATAAAAAAACTTAATTTATTAAAATCTTTGGCAAAGGAACTAATTAAAACTAATTACAAAGAGATCAAAAAATATTAAAATCTACAACTTTTACATACCATAACATACTTTATATTTGAAAAAAAAGAGTTTCAAAATTTAATACTTATATAAACGTTAATAATACTTGAGCAAGATTCCAGTGTAAATGGTATGTGCTTTGGGTACAAAGGTTCCTAAATGGATATTAAATGTTGACTTTGGTTTGATTAAAATACAATAAGTTACAAAAGTAACAAGTTTTGACTAAGAATCTATACCAGGTTTAGTGGTTTTTCAACACTATCAACATAACAATCTTCGTACATAGTCATTTTAATTCGATCGCTTTATGGTGCTGTTATGCGTGAAGAAGCCGTTGCGAGGACCGTGAGGGCAACTGCTGCCTCGACCTCGTCTCGATCGTGTCGTATCATATTATTTAGTGCCACCCGCTGAGCCTTAGCTTCTGGTCGACGTCGTTTCTCGTCTGCCCACCACGAATAATTGATTTCGCTCGGTTGGAATCTAGCTGCACTTTCTAACCACTTACTTAAAAGAACGGGGCTCGTGACTGCCTTAGAATTCTCCTGAGGACTGTCGTGATCAAAGCTGTATGAATTATTGTTCAAATTATCGCACCGGTCTTTGAGTGCTGTTTCTGTTTCTTTTTCATAAAGTCCGGAACTAGGGCTGTCGGTTAAAATGACTTCGTTTTCTAAGCTGTTTTGGTCTGGACTGCACAGTTCGGGTTCGCTCCAGATGCTGTCGTCAGAACAAATACTAAACTGCTCAACGTTTCCTTGAGCGCGATCGTTGTAAGTACGAATAAGATGGCCCCAAGTCAAATGGTGACGATCGCCATTCGCATTCTTCAATTTCCTTCGCCAATTGGCAAACCAATTGCAAATCTAAAAAAAAGAGCCGTAAAAGAGTAAATCATTGTGTAAGTTAACATTATTCCGGGATATTGGGCACCGAAACACCCAGAAAATATAATAATCTATCAAGCTGATGGCGGTAGGACGAAGTAGTCGTGCGTTCTAGTTGGAAAGGAACTTGTTTTGATAAAAATACTAGTGACATTGAAATATTTTTTATTTATTTTATTTATTGCCGTTGTAGGCAGACAAGAATACGGCCCACCTCGCCCATGGACTTCAGCAATTCCAGGGGCAGACCCAAGCCGCTGCTTACCGCAAATTACATCAGGATATATAGAAATCATTTGTCCAAAATCAAGAGAGCAATTCAACAGTAACTGATAAGCACCATAGCTTACTCATTAAAAATTATAGCAAATATGCAGAATGTAATCAAAATTCGAAAATAAACTTTTTCTCGCGAACTACATCAGCTAAATGGAATCTAGACTGTAAATCATAGCAGTGAATTTAATTTCAAGAAAAATCTAATGAGACCAGTCAGGGTACGTATTTGTATTTTTTAAATAAAAATAAGTAGGAACATCAAAAAAATCCGATTATCCAACAATAGGGTTTTTCCGTTCCGTTAGGGTATCAACCCTAACGTGGGAGTCAATTTCTCAGAACAAACTACTAGGACTACTACTACTACTACGGCTTGGCAGTTCTCGCAAATTTAATTTAAGTACATCTGTTCACCACGAAGACGAGGAATTTAAATGCCGAAGGATCGACAAATATAGTGCCTCTTTATGTACAAAGAGCAATTTCTGGCAACTATCCAGATAGGTTGTTCGTAGAGACAAACATGACACCTGATACTCCAAAATCAAGTAAAAATATCAAACCGTACAAAAAAGAATACAAACTCACTTGGATATATGTAAGTCCTGTTTCGCGTGATAAATATTTTTTTTCTTCTCTGTTGGGATACGGATTATCTCTTCGGCGTACCAGCCAGTCCTTCAAATACCTTTTTATTTCAGGAGTGAAAAGTCTCTTTTGTGGTCGATGCCCGGCCACGAAACTATGTCTGAAACATTTAAAACTATTTAGAATAAAAATGTGTAACGTCATGAAATCAAAGTGCCTCAATAAATAGTTTCCTGTTTTCAGTGCAAAATAATTATTGATGACGCACAAAGACAATCGTTTACCCTTTCTTTCAGATTAATATGAGTCACAATACAACACTAACCTCGCATATCTTCTGTTCCTTACGGGTCTTGCAGGTTTCTCGTTGTTCTCTTTATTGGTGAGCCGATCCATTGCGTCAACCTTTGTATCACAAGATCGTTGGATGAGAGTCATCGGCTCGAACGACTTTAGATTAGAAACCAGTAAAGCTTGATATTATTTATTAAGTTGCCAAGTATCTACTGCACGTGTAGGGGCACCACGGATTGCGACACGACTCGTGTCTCGCACCACTACCGACGCGGGGGATGCTCCGTGATCTATTAAAAAATAAGGACATGATGACATAAATAGATCGTCTTTCGAAATAATACAGCACACTGTCTAATTACTGCGAACGGATTAGATAGGTAACAATACGCTCTGTTCGTACGTTGATGTAACCGAAACATGACGGTCACATTCTTTGGTTCGCTTTTAGATGTTATTAGTCTTCGATCTGAACTAAATGCATGTAAATACACAGTATGTCGGCGAAATTGTTACATGTGTTTTAGGCTTTAAATTGGCGCTTTATTGTGGTGTTTTATATTCAGTAATCGTGATTGTGAACAAAAAACATGTTACTATTACGTGTCGTGTGTGTGTGGGTCAATGTGCTTGTTTTTGAGTGCTAGTCTTTTCCGTTAGAAATTACATCAACTACTGTAGTTTACGAACGGCACCGGTCTTCGACAATTTTATGTTTTTACTTTTATTTTTGTTAATTAAATTTTATTGATGCGAAAATTAATGTACATACCTGCGTGCGGGAAAGCTCGAAGAGTGTGAAAATGGCGGATAAGTGCGACGGTAGCGCCGCGGCGTGGGCGCATTCATGCCGCAAAACTGTGTTATTTTCAGGATGTCTCCCGCGATGTCTTCAAACATCATTACAATAGATAACATTTAAAATCAGGTAGGTACGTTTATTTTTATGTTTAGACGGAACAATAAGCAATAACTTTTAATTTACAGCACTGGTTCATTTCATAAAACGTTTGGTCCATTAAAAATGAGATCTATACTAATATATAAATCTACAGGGGTTTTTACGAATGTTCCGTTATAACTATTGAACCATGCATCTGATTGACTTGAAACTTGGTATCCATGTAAAAAATACATGTAGGTACTTAATGGATAGGCTAATATTTATATGAGTGTTGGACTCCCTAATAATAATGACAATAAATAATAATGCTAATTTCAAATGCCCAGCGAAGCGGGCGAATATAGCTAGTAACTTATAAATTTACGCAAGAAAATGTTTGCTGTAGGTATGAACTGAAAAAATAAATAAATGTTTTCTTCCACGTTCTAGTTAAAGTAGAGTCATGATTTAATAAATAAGATACCCAGCCTAAGCGTACCGGGTGATGCGAATCTTAACGATTATATTTTTTTCGGAGCCTGGGAAGTCAGGTAAGTATCAATTTTTCTGTGCAAATATGTACGTAACATGTACCTAACCCATGCATCAGCCCGCTGAGTTTCTGGCCGGATCTTCTCAGTGGGTCGCGATTCCGATCCGGTAGTAGATTCATTCGCGAAGCAATTGCTCTTGAGTTGTTAGGTCTCTTTCGGAGGCGCTCGGGCAGTTGTTAGTAAATCCTGGCTGAGCCTTTGCTCGCCCACCTGTCCTGGTGAAGCTGGAAAGGCCTCCGGGCCTCCAGTAATATTTCAATCAAAAAAATTAAAAAAATATATAGAAATAAATGAAAGTGTTAAGTATTTACCGTGGCCTAAAGGATACAAGGGCCGGTGTGAGTACTCTTATCAAGCGATGCGAATAGATCGGAGTTCGAATTTTGCATAAGAGTAATAAATTTTTTTAAAAGTGTATCTATAATTTTTTTTACGTTTTATATATCGTCCGTGAACATGAGAACTGTAAAATATTAGAAAAGAAATATGAATGTGCAATAAAATCAAAATAGTAAGAAGACGAAATATCTTAGATCAGAGTGTTCCCAATGCTGACATATGCCTGTGAGACGCGATAATGGAAACATTTCTCCAAGAGCAGATGACTGCTGGGGCCGAAATGTTCTCGAGGGGCGACCCCCACTGAAAAACGCAGCATGGGTAGGCCTATGGGTAGGACTATAGATCTACTAAATATGGCCCATGGGTAGGACTATGGATCTACTAAGGGTTGCGGCCTTGAGCGAGGCATATCTTCGCCTGTGATGATGATGATGAATAAAAGTGAAGTCAAAACAGTAAATTATATTTAAAAAAAAAAAACACAAAAAGCTTTCACAGTGAAAAAGTAACAAACATATTACAATAAAATTGAAACCCGCCAATATACAATTAAGCATAATTAATAGTGGCATTGCGTATTCGGAAACTCTTTCATTGAATCCGGTCACTGTCCTCGCCGAACCCGTCGCTTGCGACAAAGGCATCGGAAGAGTAAATTAACCCATAGACACAGCCCACTGAGTTTCTCGCCGGATGTTCTCAGTGGGTCGCGTTTCCGATCCGGTGGTAGATTCTGCGAAGCACTGCTCTTACTAGGGCAATTGTTAGCAACACACCGGTTTGAGCCCCGTGAGCTCACCTACACGTCAAAGAGAAGCTGAAATAGCCTCTCAACACGTGTGAGTGTCGGTATTTATGTTGTGATGTTTATGGGGTGGCTGTGGAGCACTGGCTTCCATTGGACCTGGCGATAACTCCTCTACTGCAATAAAAAAATCTATGTAACCACAAATAAATATGACAGTCGATATTAAGAGAAGGAATTCGGCTATGTCAACTACCTACTATAACTTCGCATCTACCAATCGATAAATATCACATATTCGTGCATTCTACTGTATAAGATAGTCCATCGAGTTCTCGGAACACCCGATATTCAGTTTTATTATACACCTCTTGAATAACACTGTCCACATTAGCACGTGTGTCACTGTAATTACAAATGCAATGGAAATTTCGGTTACATGTATCAACTGGGATGCCGACATGTTATATGTACGTGTGGTTTACGGGTTCAAGTAAATGCATTAAGTTCGCCTTTATACTGTCAAGTACCTATATAAAGTTATAAATAAATAAATAAATAAAAGCGAGCACCTTATCCTAGTGTGTATTATAGTCTATATTGAAATTCACCGAAACATTTTCAAACACTGTGCGAAACTAAAACAAGCCTAACTAGTGATTGATGACCAGTGATAAGCTAAATTCTGATAAGATAAATGACGGTTAGCCTATCTTTCATTTACTACTATAGTAGGTCACAATCAAATGAGAATTCACGAACCGAGAAATTCGTGGAGTTGTTATAGTTTATTTTCCAATTACTTTCATCATTTGCATATGCATGAAAAGCGATAGAATGAAAAAAACATTGATAGTTCTTGTTAACAAAACAAAAGAGAATTTAACACATAAAATTTCTTGTTCTTATATTATTTCGAAGAACATGATGCAACATTTTTTCTGTGTGTCATCAGAATTATTAGCTAAAGTCAGACAGAGCAGAACAATTTTGAATTGTTGTAGTTAAGTGTAGTTATCGGTGTACCGAGGTGATCAATAAATGATTATTAAAGTAAACACGCATCAGGTAGTCGTCCGAAATTCATTAACTTGTGGAACTTTGTTTTGGCGTCGTCTTGCCATCCCTTTCTGTTGCTCTCGTAGTTGCGTTGGGTGTCTCTATCGGTGAGTCGCGGGCTCCCCCATGCCGAGCGTTCTATAAGTTTGCCGAGAGACATGCGCGGCGACGTCTGCTCCGATTGCTCGACCGCCGCGCGGCACTAGTTCGCTTGTCTGACGTCAGCAGCAATCCACCTATTCCAGTTTCGCAGGTTGATTATAACATGGTAACACAAAGTGATTCAGTCGAGTGAGATATCTTGTGGCGGTCTGTTCGGCGGACACAGTTGTGATAACGCGCGGCTCTATCCACGTGCGTGCGTTTACCGGCGTGCGCGATTGATTTTTTGCGGAATGGGTGAGGAATCTCAGGCCGGCGATGGAAAAGTCGTATTAAAACGTAAAATAACCTTATTTAATGGGGTGGGAATCATTATAGGAACGATTATTGGATCCGGAATATTCATATCCCCTGCTGGAGTTTACTTGTACACAGGGTAAGCAGAATTCTTAAAAATTCCCGCTTTTTCGAACACAATAAAAAAATAGTGAACTGTGTGTATTTACTAGTTGCCGTGATTTATGAAATAAATTCACAATTTAGTAATTTTTTGTTTGTTTAAAACTTGTTTTTTGATCTCGAACGATTGATTAAATTAATTTCATAAAAATGCAAATTTTGCACGTGTAATTGAATTTTTCAAAACGGTTAAATGAATTTTTATTACCTATATTTAGACTTTAACTAAATTTGTAACTAAAATTAGGTTTATTTCTGGAAAGTTTTTATCAATCTTCTACTTTCAGGTATACATTATTTATGATCACATAATCAAATTAGGCAAAAATAAATAGTGTGATAATCAGAAAGATCTAGGACATGCGTAACAATGTTACTGAAATGTTATTCGTTATCCCAGAGTGCTTAGATTTGGTTTGAATAAATCATTGGCTGTGTGATGTGCGTGGATCTGTTGTGTTATACGAATCAGGCATATAAATTGTGACCGACTCTGGTCAGTCGCTGTAATGTATGATGGATAAATCTTGAGTTGTTAGGTCTCCTCTGGAGGCGCTCGGGTGGCTGTTAGCAAATACCACCCCTCCTCCGAATTATTGACTTTGTATTCCATTGGCAGTCACAAAACTCTTCTGAACGATATCTTAGATAAATAACAGGTTAAGTATTAACCTTTACTTAATGCAGGTTTTGAACCGTATTCTTTGAAGGAGACGATTATATTCAAATCAATCTGTATTGACATATCAATAACATTTTTTTGTCCAAATGCACAGATTGCCACCTTTGATAATAGACGACTCATATATAACATGTTCAAGTTGGTTCATGCTCATATTATGTTGGGCTTACTTTCCCTAAGCTATTTATTTTTACTGGCGTAACAGAAAATACTAGCTCACGCGATCTACTTGGTATTAATTGGTTACCGGAGACTATGGAAATCATATTATGAATATCGCTATCAACCTTGAAGCAAGAAGTCGATACAGAGCGCCGCGGCAGTCTGAGTAGGCGGCAGAAATAGAAATGTTCATTTGTTAATACCACCGAAAGCTACAACAACGGTAATATAATGCTGCCTTGTGTTAAATTTAATCTTTGAGAAACGTTATCGTTGCAAATCGACGTTAACACGGAAGTAATAAATACTATTTAGTTTTTTATACATTTTATTTTCCTTATATTATTTCAATGTCAGTGACGGATAATTATAGACACGCCTACAACCAATTTATGAATTTCTTTTAAAAGATAAGATTGCTGTACAATACACGTTATTTATGTAGGTATGTTTTGACGCCTGTGCTATCTGTAGAGTTATATTGGCATTTAAAATGTGTTTTAGTTGATGAATCAGTATTGTTTGTATATTTTTTATCTAATTTTATTAAGTGTACTAGTTTAAGGAAAATGAAAAGATAATTAAGGGTTTTAGATTGTTACTTTTTAAATTTTGCTCTCGACGCTTCGGATGCTGTGATTTAGCGGTCTCAGATACTCTAAGACGCATAGTCATCTAAAAAGGCGAGTCGTAAAAGTTTCCTTACGAAACTAAAACCTTTACTTTTATTTATCAAAATGAAATTGCAAAGTACACTTGCGAGACTCAGTGTTAAGCTGTTTAGTGGCAAGGCGATAAGGGGGCATACTGTCATAGAGCATTGAAGGTTTGCAATCATGGATTCGGTTTGATATCTGTAATGGGTCTATAAATAAATGTTATAACTCTAAGGATCAAGTCCTAGCGGCAAAGATCTCTAAATATCAATAACCTTCTAATAGCTACTAGTCTACTAATAGTTTCTAATTGTATTTATTAATTACTATCGCGATTATACTACATAATAATATTTATAGTATAGTAATTAGTAACTATCAGTTAGTCATATTATATTATTTTAAACGTATTAGAATGGTACACGAAAACCGGATTTAATTTTCATAATGTTGTGCAGGTCATAGCTAGAGAGTTGTTTACATGTTTTTGTGGAGTATCTTTTTTTTTAGCTCCGTGTCATCGCAATGACAGTGCGTCACTGTCGAGAATGTTTTTATGTACAAAATGTTTTTGTTACAGTGAAATTTGCAATAATAATTCTACTAATAAAAGTTATTCTTATCTATTTGAATAAAAATAAGGGTGGTATTAATTTAAAGCCAAAGTCCCTCAATGTCTTCGATAAATATTTAATTATTGCGTAAATCGTTGCGTTATTACGGTTTGTTATTTTATGAATTGTTTTAGGTCTTCTAGAATTATCTTCCTCTGACATTCTACTGCCTTCAAGGTCAACCAATCTTGATTGAACAGCTTCCGAAAGCGTTGGTTCAGCATGTCTATGATACAGTGCTAGTTTTCCTTCTTTTATTGGACTCCGGGCGACAGCCTGCATAAAATAAAAGTATGTAGTTAGTGTCACGGATATTTCTGCTAGTGTTACAGGTCTTCTTCTTCTTCTTCTTAGTCGAATACTTCATTGCTGAAGGTCGTGTCCTTGAAAGCCCTTCGTGGCTCTTTGTACCCTCAGTTTCCATTTGCTTCGGTTTTCGGCTTCTCTCAGGGCGTTCGCAACAGAGAGTCCAGTGAGCGCAGCTATCTGATCCGACCAACGGTATGGTGGCCGGTGGTGGTGGTGGTGTTACAGGTATTACGGTATATATAGATGATAGATACCTAAGTAACTATACAAAAAATTGATTTACTCTAGATGTAAGACGAGCTTACGTGGTATTAGGTGTATGATAAAGATCTTTCGCTTCAAACTTCATTAAGAGGAATAAATTACATTGTTGTTGACGTCCACACAGTTATGAACCATAAATAAAATTATCGTGTAAATCGTTCATTCTATGGAGTTTAATTTTATAGAAATTAGAATAACAATAACGTGGTTAACGTTAACAATCTTCTTGCCGACGCCGAATAGTCAATCGATTGCACGTACGAAGCTGTAATGCATTCCAGTTTGAAGCGTGGCATAGCCATTATACAATAAAATTGAGTATTCGACTTCATTTCTACGGGTGGTGATATTTGCTTTGATTTATCTATATTGGGTAAACGCTTAATCAGATGGTCAGTGAGATCGTCGTGCTTTGCTAAAATCGGTGAATAAGTGGTTAAATGGGTGGCAAAGTTAAGGCTGGTATTAAGTGGTTACCGGAGCCCATAGACATCCACAACATAACTGCCACCATTTTCCTTGACACATGAGTGAGTAAGTCTCAGTTTTATAGTACAACGGCTGCCCCATTTTTCCGAGACATAATCAAAGCTGTTTAATTTTCCTTTCTATAAAATAACTTTATCAGATAAATAATGGGTTTTATTCCCGGGAAATGTTATAATATAACTATGATTTCTGGTTCATATAACTATAGATTATGTCAGATGTTCAAGAGCCTTTCTACTTGCTGTCTGAATGATATTGCTTTCATTTTATTCAATGCTTCATGTTTCTATCAACACCAGTCAATGAAGTGATGCCGTGTGAATGAGGCTTAATAATAGTGATTGACATTATTGAGTTAATTTTCGAACCGCTTCAATACTAGAGAACCGTGACACTGTAACCTGTATAAATGCGTATAAATGGTGAGAAGGCGGCCAATCCACTCGAGTCAATTACATGCGCATAATAATGTGCAATGAACTGTAATACATAGGCAGTCTTTAGATGTATCCGTTTCAAGGAATATTAGTGGTAGGCCGCTAATAAATCGAATGCTCATTTTTAACGGCGTAGTTGGTACGGAAAAATGGTGACTTCCGAAGTTACATTATCTAACGGCTAACTATTCTGATAATTGAGACTTTGTGTCAGAAAAAGGCTTAAGTTTTTCCCTTCCAATTTGCTGGTAGCCTAAAGAGTTATTCCAGCTTCGCACAGACGGGTCACCGTCCTCGTCGAACCCGTCGCTTGCGACGAAGGGTTCGACGAGTGAATTAACTCATAGACACAGCCCACTGAGTTTCTCGCCGGATCTTCTCAGTGGGTCGCGTTTCCGATCCGGTGGTAGATTTTGCGAAGCACTGCTCTTGTTAGGGCCAGTGCTAGCAACACTCTCGGTTTGAGCCCCGTCAGCTCACCTATACGTCAAAGAGAAGCTGAAATAGCCTCTCAAGGCAATCAACGTAGGTAGCAAAAAAAAAAACGGACGAGTAAGTGAGATCACGGGTTTAACCTGAGAAAATTTGCTAATAGTGTGGATCTTTCACAGCCGGATTTTTTCAGTGGGTCGGAAATGCAACACATTGAAAAGATCCGGCGAGAAACTAACTAGGCAAATGGTTGAACATTGGTAACTACTCTACCATAAGTTGAATTTTTTTTTTAAATCTCAGAAATAAATTTTGCTATTACATATTTTCGAGCAAACAACATTTAAACGAGGCGTGTTACGCGGGCCCACTCGTATTTCGTAGATGAAATAAATAAAATAATGAATTGTTACATTACAAACTTTCAGAAAATACGTGTAGATTCATTTTTAAAATAATAGTACTATAAATAAATTGTTATAATAATATAAAGTAATTGTTATATTGTGTTTTTCCTCAATATAATATTGCTTATTTAGAGCATGTTACATTCATGGAAATTGTTTGCAAAAATCTTACACTCGTGTGCGTAGTGATTTACAATCACATAAACTTCAATTGGAGCATGCTACATACCGTACGAAATGGGCATATTCACCTTGTATTGCGCTGGCTGAGAAAATGGATAATTTTGTGTATTTCGGGTTCCGGCTATCGTAACGATCAGAACTTGACTGCCAACTACATTTTCAAGGAACCAGGAATTGATACTTTAAATACATTACTTAAGACGATATACAAATAAAAATGTCTATCACACGAATGTTTGTCTGCCATGGGAATCGAAACCACGACCCTTGGCTCGGATGTAGGAGCACTAACTACTACGTTACCGAGTCAGCCAAAATGTCATAACAGTTAAATTAAATTATGACCTTTTGAATTCAAATAATATTGTTTTATTAGTTTTTGTGTTACGCAAGAATAAACATAACTACAATACTATACTAAAAATACAAAACAAAACTGAAAATTTTATTTCATTGGACATACACACTTCTTACTTTCATAAAAGTTTGTTAGTACACACACAACGTATTATGAAATAAGAGTTGCCAGAATCAATTTCCATGTGCACAATTGGAAGTCTCTCGAGAAATAAAGACATGTAATGTATCATGTCTTATCACACGACTACAATGAATGAGCGTTAATTATAATTTATTTTCATTGTTATAGGTCAGTGGCTGCCTCGTTAATAATATGGCTTGCGAGCGGACTTCTGTCCACGCTGGGAGCTTTGTGCTACGCCGAGCTGGGTACATCGATCACAAGATCAGGAGGAGACTATGCGTACATATATACAGCCTTCGGACCGCTGCCAGCGTTTTTGAGGCTCTGGATTGCACTGCTCATTATCAGGCCTACCACCCAGGCGATAGTGGCGCTCACCTTTGGAAATTACGTTGTCAAACCCTTCTTTCCGGAGTGTGATCCACCGGAGAACGCTGTCAGACTCCTTGCTGCAGTATGCTTGTGTAAGTTCCCTTTACTAATGAACAGCTGTTTCTTTATACAGGGTGTGGTTCTTGTTCGAAACAGAGTCATTTTTATGTAGGTATTTACCAAAATCAGTATTGTCAAGTTATTGAATATTAAGTGCCTATTTCTGCCGTGAAGCAGTAATGCGTTTCGGTTTGAAGGGTGGGGCAGTCGTTGTAACTATACTGAGACCTTAGAACTTATATCTCAAGGTGGGTGGCGCATTTACGTTGTAGATGTCTATGGGCTCCAGTAACCACTTAACACCAGGTGGGCTGTGAGCTCGTTCACCCATCTAAGCAATAATTTTTTTTTTTGTCTATTATTGTCTATTAAGTGCCTACTTCTGCCGCGAAGTAGTAATGCGTTTCGGTTTAAAGGGTGGGGCAGCCGTTGTAAATATACTTGAGACCTTAGAACTTATATCTCAAGGTGGGTGGCGCATTCACGTTGTAGATGTCTTTGGGCTCCAGTAATTATTTAACACCAGGTGAGCTGTGAGCCCGTCCAACCATCTAAGCAATAAAAAAAACTGCCGGTGGTACAGCTAGAATCAATTGACGGAGTCAACCATAACCTATGCCGAGCCTTAAACGTGCTTTAGATTGAAAGCTCACTAAACTTAACCGCACTAAATGAAATTCGGGGAATCAATGTTGTTTTCTCTTTGATTGCATTATGTTTACCATGAGAATATTTTCCTTTAGTCCTGGTATGTATATTACTTTAAAAACATATGAGAATGCTTGTAGAATAAATTCTAGCGTAAAACACTGCGCTCATTTAGTTATCTCTATGTTTTTTTCGTTTTCCTCAACGTAAGGGCTTTGTTGAGATTATTGTTCCACAAACGTGTTCGTGCTGGAACTTTCCATTTCACACCTCAATACGCTTTCTATTTTACTTTTACTTTAATTCGGGTTGTGTAATAACTTTTTTTAAATTACATATATAAAAAAGACAATTGTTTTTTGAATGACATTTGATTTGAAATTTTAAATATCGATTCTTATTTTTTTTGAAGGGGTTTTTGGCAAGCGATTTCTTAACAGAAAATAATTGTGAGATAGGTACTTGTAATGTACTGTCAGATATGGTATTATGGAGTCACTTAACTACTGCTACTTGACATTCGCTACTCACCATTGTTCAGTCCAAAGCAAACCTACATAGTTGAAATTTTGCGTCTGAGTGCTTCTCATTTATAAACCAAAAAAATTAAAGTAGAACATTTGAAATTTACGCGGGAATACTGAGTTTTTTAATTATTATCTGCAATCTGGCTGGCCATTACTATAGATAAGTTTTATGTTTTTTTATTATTCTCTTGGAATAGGTCGTGACGTCCTTACGGATCCATCAGATCCAATAACCTTTGCATTAGACGCCTTCAGCTCTAACACTAGGCGCATGCTTAGGGACCTCGGTAACCGTACTCGTCGAACTCGACAAAGAGTTCGCCGTGCAACCTAACCCATGAATCAGCTCGCTGAGTTTCTCGCCGGATCTTCTCAGCGGGTCGCGATTCCGATCCGGTAGTAGATTCATTCGCGAAGCAGCTACTCTTGAGCTGTTAGGTCTCCTTCGGAGGCGCTCGGGTAGCTGTTAGCAAATCCNTCGGTAACCGTACTCGTCGAACTCGACAAAGAGTTCGCCGTGCAACCTAACCCATGAATCAGCTCGCTGAGTTTCTCGCCGGATCTTCTCAGCGGGTCGCGATTCCGATCCGGTAGTAGATTCATTCGCGAAGCAGCTACTCTTGAGCTGTTAGGTCTCCTTCGGAGGCGCTCGGGTAGCTGTTAGCAAATCCCACCCCTCCTAGCTGAGCCTTTGCTCGCCCACCTGTCCTGGTGAAACTGGAAAGGCCTCCGGGCCACCAGTAATCCTCCAATCATAAAAAAAAAAATAGGTCGTGAAATATATCGACAGGAAAATTAAATGAATTGTGCCCTTACTACAGTGTACATGAGATGATGGACCAATTTATCATAATGCAACATTGTTTTGATACCATTGCATGGATCATCGCTAAAAGCGTCTACAATTTTTTTAGAGAATACTTAACATGACGATGGTATGATGATACTCGTAGAACATTTGAAATTTACGCGGGAATACTGAGATTTTTTTTATTAATATCTGTAATCTGGCTGGCCATTACTATAGATAAGTTTTATGTTTTTTTATTATTCTCTTGGAATAGGTCGTGAAATATATCGACAGGAAAATTAAATGAATTGTCCACTTTACTACAGTGTACAGCGTGAGATGATGAACCAATTTATTATAATGCAACATTGTTTTGATACCGTTGCATGGATCATCGCTAAAAGCGTCTACAATTTTTTTTATAGAATACTTAACATGAGGATGGTATGATGATATTGTAACGAATTGAGAGATACCGCCTACATCTATGGATGTAGATGTTCGAAACTTCTACGAAACGGATGTGTATTGATTAACTTATAGGTGTGCTAATTATTTTGATAATTTTAAAATCTACGCTAAATGGGTGATTTTTTTTTTTTTTTTTAAACGCCACGATAACTGATCCCGTTATAAGTTCGTAAAGAACTTGTGTTACAGGTACCAGATAACGAAAATAAATGTAAGATTTTTATTATACACATACATATATTTAATATACATCCATAACCCTGGAAAAGACATTTATATTTATCATACAAATATCTTTCCTTGGCGGGATTCGAACCCGCGACCCCCTTGTGTAGTGACCATGTCACTTACCACTACACCAGACAGCCGTTAAATGTTGAATGTACCCATGATCCGCTTGTTGTTAAGAGGTTACCCAAGTCCATACACATCATGTACGAATAGCGCCATTCGTCTTGAGACAGTCTTTGAGACTTGAGGTACGTACACATGCGGGCTAACAATACGCTCTACCATCGATAAGTACGCATATTGATAAATTGTTCGCATTTATTTCACATTTATTTTCTATGAAGAAACTATTGTATATACGACAACTACATCTTGCAAATATGTAATTCATTTGTAATATGTTTCTTCAAAAGAAAAGCAATAGTGTGTTTTGTTATTTTACAACGAAAATATTAAATGATATAATCACTTTATTGCACTTAGGTACGTCAAAATAACGACAATGTATAGATAAAGTCAATGAAAACAATTAAACTTCTTAACTTAATAGGTGTATGGCTCTAATAAAGAACAAAAAAAAAACTAAAGTACAATGAGCGGGTTCATCCCTGAAAGAAAAAAGGGAAAGGTTATTAAATCCAGATGATAATAACCTTTCCCTTTTTCCTGAACATTGACATAATATATAATAAATATATATATATATTGTTTTCAATATTTTAGACAAGAATACTTAAAAATTTAAAATGATCTTAAAATTTTATTGTAAACGTTTTAGATAATATGTAATTAGACTAAAGTAGTTAGATTCAATTATTCTTATAGACGAGGCCCAAATTTTGACAACCAAGAAAACAATTTTATTGAAAAAAAGTAACATTCTTTTCGCGCGTCGCTGTTTTTTATGTTAAGGATAGAGAATACTCACGTCAAGGTGACATAGACGGTCATCAAAGTTTTTACATTATTATTATATTCTTTTTTGTAGGCGAACATTAATAATTGAAGTACCTTTTTTTAACTGACATAAAACAAAAACTAATTAAATAAATCGAAATTTCTCATATATATATGAACAATAGGAATACGTTGTTGGCAGTTAACATGCAGACCACAATGATAAGATTTCATACAAATTGATTGAATTTCAACCGAAAACCATCATTTAGCACGTACAATTTACAGTAGGTCGACAGTAGAGAAAATATTAAAATTCAACGGACTGTATCCAATGGAACAAAATGTTTCGGAATTTGAAAACATTTTATACGCCTAAAACAACTTTTGTCTAAATAGATGTGTGAATAACTAAATGCCTTTGTAAGATATGTGAATTTCCGCATTCATAACTTATTATAATTAAGTGTAAATGGACCTATTTGGTACAATGACGTCAGCGTTCAAGAGTGCGATACTTATACCTAGTCAGGTCATAAATTCTGTCACATGTTTAATGTAAAATAATTGAAACAAGTTTATTCATTATGTAACCATTCATATACCAAAATGAACTTAACAAAACATAGATTCTTATGACACTAAAGTTTATTCAAAATGACCTCCGTGATTTTGAATACAGGCCTCAATCTGCGCGGCCAGTCGTCTATCGCAGCACGAACGAGGTCCATGTCAATATCGGCGGCTGCCTTAATCAAGGATGTCTTGAGTGACTCCAAATTGGGATGAGGCTTTGAGCACGCCTTTTCCTCCAAGTGTTGCCATATCTTGTAATCTAACGGATTCAAATCTGGACTGGAGGAGGGCCAGTCTTCGTGCCGGATGAAGTCGATTTCACGCGCCGCCAGCCAGTCTTGTGTGCTCTTCGCTCTATGAGCTGGCGCCGAATCTTGTTGGAATACCCAGTGCCTGTTATTGAACATGGTATGAGAAACAGGTTCCACAAGGTTCGTCAGGACTGTATTTTGATACACAACTGCATTCGTTTTTACACCTTTCTCACAAAAATGTACCTCTGTTAAGCCCCAATAAGAAACTCCCAACCATACCATGAGCGAGGATGGAAAATGACCTCGTTGGACACGCGGAATACGGTTGCTCGCTTCTTCACTACTGTGTGCGTACACCTTATCATTTTGTTTGTTGTAGCTCTCTTCTACGGTAAAAATTTTTTCATCCGAAAAAAGAATTTCCCGATATTATTTTCCCGCGTACCGCTTCAACAAAGCGCGGCATCTCTTCAGTCTCAGGTCCATTAGACGAGCATTCAAACGATGTCCTGTTTTTCTTCGATATTCCCGAAGCCCTAAGTCTTCATTTAACACCCTTTTCACCGTGGTTCTGCTTAACCCTATCTGAAGGGCCAACAGTTTCTGCTTACGTTTGGGATTTCTTTGAATTCGCGCCTTCACAGCTTTTATCACTGCTGGAGTCCTAACAGACCGAGGGCGACCACTTCTTGACCCGTCATCTACACTAGAGTCTTCATTGTATCGTTTGATGGTACGATGAACGAATCTTTTGGTTATATTCAAATTTTTCAGTATGTTAAAAATTTGAATTGGCGCGTAACCGCAACGATGCAACGCAATAACTGCAACACGGTCTTCTTTAAGCGTCCACTCCATGTTTAAAAATGAGTAAAATTCTAAAAGTATACATTTTTATTTTCATGAACAATTCGACATTCGAATTTAATAAACTTTTTTGTGGCCAGCATTCTAAAAGAAAAGTTTTTACTGTGTGACAATACTTATGACCTGACTAGTTACTATACGAAAACTGACGATCTGATACCAGCTAAGCCCTTGAGTTCGCCCTTCTTCCTGCTGAACCTGAATAGGTCTCCGAATCTCACCATCAACCCTTTGATCCTAAAAAAGGCGCATTCAATCCAAGGCCTCATATATCAAGCTATCATCGTCCATACTATCTGGAACCGCTTCGTTCATTGATAGTGTCCAGATATCTTTTTTGCCATTTAGCATCATGTTTTAGAATAAACTCCCCACCACGGTGCTTCTCGTGTGCTATGACATTCCTTCTTCAAACGAAGCTTGTGGAGAGTACTGACTAGTAGGCAGCGACTTGTCTATGCCCCTGACATTGCCGACATCTATGAGGGACATAACCACTCACTAACAGGTAGGACGTACGATTTTCTGCCTTTGTAGGCCATAAAAAAGTCGGTGTGCTCTAAAATGCTCTGGTAATTCCAGCAAATCTGACGTCATCTTACGGGCCTTTTGCTTGCAATATATATAGAAAAACGATTTATACCCAATTAAAAAAAATCCATATTCAGAAAAAAACATCAAGGCTAGAATGAACACAAACAGAGTAGAGTACTACTAGTGAAGTAGAGTACCTACTAGTGTGATACATATATACATATGTATGTATTATACTGATTATACATTACAAGTTTTCCTTATTTCAGCTTGGTTAAAACTCATTTAATGATCTTCTGCACGTATAAAATATTATATTCACCAATCACGTAGAGCAGAAACATTATCTTACCAGCAATCAACTATCAAGGATAAACCTAACCTTATCATAAAAACCTCTCCGTGTCATTACCTGATCTACTGTTTTAATTTAACTCAAGTCTCGAAGTGACTGGTTTTATTTCAACGGAATTTGACCCTCGATTAAACTGAGCGGGCGACCGTTGTCTATATACTGCACTGATTTAGTGTCATTGGAAGCTCTCGGTTCGTTAACCAAGAATGTCTTCTTGTGGAAAATAACCAAATTAATACGATTTGGATTATTAACATTAAAATGATTACTAGCATAAAATGTTTAAAATTTGTTTAAAATTTAATTTAAATTGTTTAAAATTATTCACTATAATTTGACGTTTAGCAAAAAAAATCAAGCAAAAATGAAATAGAAGCGAATAGAGGGAAACTTAGACTGATAAACTTTTCATTATTCTAGTCTAGATAAACGTTTATCACTACATAGTATAAAACAAAGTCGCTTTCTTCTGTCCCTATATCTGTCTGTCCTTATGTATGCTTAAATCTTTAAAACTACGCAACGGATTTTGACGCGGTTTTCTTAAATAGATAGAGTGATTGAAGAGGAACTTTTATATGTATAATAACATCCATTAAATACTGGAAAAATCAATAATAAATTACAGTTTCTGAAGCGAAGCGAGTGCGGGTCGCTAGTTAAGCCATAAACGGTAAAAAGAAGCCGATATCCGGTAATTCACAGATAGCAGCGTCTCCGGCGGGATAAGAAACGGAAACTTCCACTTAGCCTAATTATCCGGAACAGGGGCGGCCACTCCGCACACTAACTAAACCCACTTCTCAAACTAACACAATTGTAAATTATAGAATATTGTGGGTTAGAACGCGCTGATTTCTTGCTTTATCAAATTGTCAACGTTTTTCTGTTCGGGCGCCTAATGTGAATATATATTAAAAATGCATTAGATGGCTTGGCAACAAATTATTATTACTATTGGAAATAATTATGTATCAGTCTATAAATTTCCATCGTACATCTTGACCTTGACTTTACCGCTTGACTAGGACAGGTTGATATTTGGATTGTGCGATTGTTATTAGTAAATTTGAACTTATTCCTATTACATATTTCAAAAAACTACCAAAATCAAAGTCGGTTCATAAATTTATTCTTTTCAGGAGGAATTTATGTTTCACAAAATCATAAAATATTAGTAGCAAATCAAGTTGAAAGACACGACGCACCACAATAAAACATAAATATCATGAAACCGCAACGAAAACAATACCACTGTCCACGAAGTGAAATCAATTAGTTCCAATCACTTTGTGGAGTGAAGACCCATAATTTACTCATTAATGGTGCAACCAATTACTGTAATGTACCTAGTTATGTAATGGTGGCCAAACAACTATTGTTTCCTGTTTATGAATATACAAATACTTGACCTTTTCCCCAATAGGTTTTATTACAGAAATTTTAGGCAGACTATCGTGTTATTGATTTTTGAAAAAGCAATAACAATAGTATCAATAGTATCTATGATAAATCTGTACTAGACATTATCATCTATGATGCTTGCAATGTGTTCTAATGTTGTATGATAAACGATGTTAATGATGTATGATTTCTATAATCTGTACATTTATATATATTCTGCAAATACCTACGTTTTAGTAGGTTATTAAAAAGTTTATCGTTCGTTCGTTTTTGATTTTAATGAAAGTTCACGTTAGTGCCCCTGAAGTATGAAACCTACCTACCTACTTTAAAGGTCTATGGTTAGGGCATTTTCCAATCAGCTGTCAACATCAGAACCTAAACGCCGCGGCGCCGCAAAACGCCCCCATTCATCTTGAGACACGAAATCTAACACACCATTGAAATATCTTATGTCACTCTTTGATTTTGAAGCCTAGATAATACAATTAATATTGACTTTGTAGCAGAATGCGTGATGGAGCCGAGATAGGATAGTGGTACCCACCTACCTCTGCGAGCATTTTGCCTCAATAGAAAATTTCCTCTAAATATTAAACGCCTCATTGATAATCTAGGAGTAGTCTTAACACGTTTTTAACAGTCCACTTCAAACGGATGAAAACTGGATTTGAATTTATTAAGGCAGACCTTAAACTATTCAGTTTATAATTAACAGATGTTTGAATGATAAAAATTAAACAAGTTTATTTTTGTTCAGGTGTACTGACTGCTATAAACTGTATCAGCGTGAGATGGACCATGCGCATCCAAGATGTGTTTACAACGTCAAAGCTACTGGCTCTAGTCGTCATCATCATTTCAGGACTCTACTATATTTGCATAGGTACGTATTGTGATTATGTACGGGGATTTCTTAGAATATATTTTCAGTTGAGTTCATGATTTACTTGGTCACAGGTATCACTACTTCAATGCCGCTGGTTTCCTTCAGACATGAGGTCTGATTCTCAATTGTATTTTTCGGCGACGTCACACGTTTCTAACTGGAATGAATGATGTCGATAGTACATATATTATGAAAAATTGAACAAATTAAATTTAACCGAAATACAAAAAAAAAAAAAAAAAACCCGATGTACTTTATTTAGTTATTGCGGTAGATGAAGTTTTGTTAATTTCTGTGTAATCAAACGAAGACAATGATCGAAATAGTTTCGTAGTTCAATTAGTAGTGAGCGCAAAACTAAATTTATTTATGTATTTGAAACACCCAAATTTTTATTCGAAGTGCTTACACACACAGTTCGTGCTAATTAAAATTTTTGTTCATACTTTTTTATTTATTCTACTTAGAATTATTTATACAGTCATACCTAGTTACTTTTAAAATATATTTAAATAAGTCACATTTAAATTGAATATCTTTTGTTTTTAATTACAAATGAGTTTCATCATCGAATTGAAATAAAACAGCTTGATATCGTTAAATACATTTCTAGTATAGAGTTGTGATGTCAGAATATCAGAATCACAATTCGAAGGCAAACATCTCTTGGGCAAATAAATCATTCTTTGTTTTTTTATCTCGGAACTGCGAGTCCAGATGTCCCTATATGTCAATGGAAAGATTTTTTATTAATACATTTCAATAAACTATTGATTTATCGTATATTAAAATGTGGGTATTGCAAAATATAATTATAATATGCCATTTTCATCATTTCATTGTAGTGAGATCTGAGGAAATTGAAATATCCGTAATTTTTTCTCATGTATAATAATTTAACTTCTCTAATTAAGTTATAAGGTAATGTTAGGAGATTACTATATCACATCCACGGTCATTAGGTACTATATCTATACTTCTATACTAATATTATAAAGAGGAAAGATTTGTTTGTTTGTTTGTATTGAATAGGCTCCGAAACTACTGAACCGATTTGAGAAATTCTTTCACTGTGTGGAAGCTACACTATTCCCGAGTGACATAGACTATAAATCTTTTTTGAAAAAAATTTGGGATCCTTACTAAAACTCCAATAATGTAACCGAAGGTGTAAAAAAATTACCAAAAATATTCTTTATATCGCGTGCCCTGCGCAAACTATTGATAATAGAATAAAATAATGTACTACGACTTTGTAAAACACATTATTATGTACAGAAAGTGCCGCGGCAGCATATGCCTAACTATTAAAGTTATGCCGCAATAAATGTTCTTTTATTTAAAAAAATAAAACAACGTCAAATATCGTTGAAATTTTTGTTAAAGACCCGAGCGGAGCCGGAGCGGGCCGCAAGTATATATATATATTTTCCCTACCTAATCGTTGGTAGCCTAAGGGGCTATTCCAACATAACGAGGACCGGTAGGTGAGCTCACGGGCTCAACCTGCGAGAATTGCTAACACTAGCCCTAGCAAGAACGATGTTTTGCTGAATCTACTACCGGATCGGAATCGCGACCCACTGAGAGTACAATATAGTTTACCTAATATAGTATACCCTACCCAATTCAATAATAAGTCTGCTTTTAGGTAACACACAAAATTTCGAGAACGCATTTGCTGGAGAATATAGTGCTGGTAATATTGCGCTAGCCTTTTATTCGGGCCTCTTCGCTTTTGGAGGTTGGAATTATCTCAACTTTGTAACCGAAGAACTCCAGGATCCTTATAAGTGAGTTTCGTTAATTGATATTATGTCTATGAAATTTGGTGGTGGTCATTTTATAGGGTAAACGTAAAGGTTTTCCAAGGGTGCTTTAGGTAGACTACTGAATACTAGTTTCAAATTATTATTGAAGTACTTACCTACAAGTTGTGCACCTCGGTTTTACCGGTGTTAAATTTGTAATTTACAAAGAAGGACACATGAGGCAATGTTTCGAGGTAAAGCGTTGCTTCTTTCGCTACATAATTGATTCATAAAATACTAGTTGATTTAAAGATATGTTGGTACGTTATATTATGAACCAGTGGACACATTGCGCCATATTTATTATAAAAGTCGCCCGGGTCACTTACCATGATAAAAGTATATTTACGTTAATCCAGATTATTTATAAATATTAATTTATGTCTGTGCAAACTTTATTCAGATCCGTTGAGCCCTTTTGCGTAATTATATACAAACTTTCACAGTCAAAATAAAACATTAGTCTAGAATCCGAGATTTATCGAAAATATTTCCAGCGCTATTTAGATTTTGGCCAGATTTACGAACACAAATATGTAGTCGTAAAAATATGCATGTTATACACCTAACGGCTATAAGAAAAAAAAAGGCAGCATCTCTGTACCTAACAGGCATCATTATCTTTAAGCACGTCTCTCTCGTTTGTATAAAGAAAGTTGACACAGTCTTTATGGGATTATTCGACAAATTCAAACTCAGAATCGAGATAAAGCTGTAGTTTCTTAAAGTACATCAGTATTTTCGTGTGTCTACCTATTGAAAAACTATGTGATTCTTTCACATAAAGATGTCAAGGACGACTCCAATTTGTAATAGTCTCGATTACGTTAGATCGATTCTTAAATCCTCTGCGAGTGGTTTCGTTGAGAGAATGACAAATAGCTTTTAGTTCATTCAATGTGTACAGAACTGTTATCGTCACAGGCTATTTCTTCTTGGGCAAACACTAAATTGAAGTGTTTTACTCAACATAGTGGACGCAGGAGAGAAAAGTTTTGTGTAAATTCTCCAAAAAAATCACGTTTTTAAGGAAGCGTCTGTTTTCTGTCTGGAAAAAATTAGCAGTTTTTTTATATCCTTCGCATCGAAAATTAATTAATTTGCGGCAATAATGCGGTACTTCTTAATGTTTTGGTCACGTTATCGTTGGACATCTGTGATAACGCGGTAATCATCTTATACGCTACGGTTTTTTTTTTATTGGCACCGATGGGCAAACCAATTCACCGACCCCACTGATGCCCAGTAGTACCACAGCCTCGTTGCCCGTATTTAGACGTGACCTTGACATATGTAGATGGTACAATAGCTGTTCTAATTTTTTAAATCGCATGACTGATTCACGGTAAACATAGGTGCAATGGTACAGACATACAAACGCTCTAATTACCTATAGGTAGAAATTAAGGGACGTATTAGACTGGAAAATAAAGAGTGAATATTAATACATAGTACCCAGCACCTCCAGCTAGCTTACCGGCTACTTAGCGATACCTTGCTAACCCTTATTTGTTGCTTTGCTGTTGTTAGTGTTTTTCTATCTGTACATATGAGAAATAATACATAATATATTATATAATACATATGAGAAAGCGAGATAAATGCCGTTTAAAGGAAAACGAAATGCTTTTTGCTTTATTGGATGAGATTCTTTATTCCCGCATTCATTCGCACTCTCCCTATTGAATGTTTTATTCATTAAGGAATTTATATTACTCTTGACCGGGAATGTAGTGAGGCTCATTTTCTCAGCTCGTTGTTTAGTAGAGAGAATAAAACAATGTCGACTTAGGTTCACGATTTTTCATTATTAAAACTTTGTAGATTTTTGTAAAATTAGATGGGAAAACGTTTAGATTTTGTTTTTTTAATATCGAAAATAATGTCAGCATTTTTATATGAAGTACTTATCTATATATATGGTTTTCAATCCATAATAATATCATATCATATGCGATTACAATCTAAAGACACATATTAAAATGCAATATCATTTTGAAAAGCTTTAATTACAGTTTAAGAGGAAGAATTATCGAATACACGATAGGTGCCTACCAAACCCATTGCAACACAAATTATTAAATTTAAATTGAATTAAACATAATCCTGTTTCGATTTTCCGTAATTTACAATTAATACTATATTAATGAGGTATCATTATTGAATGAAACACAGTTTTTTTTTGTAATCATGGTTTAATAAACTCACCGCCCTGTGTTAAATTCCTGAAGCCCATAGATATAATAGATCTGAATACCGCTACCCGCCTTGAGACAGAAGGACGAATATTCTACGGTATCGTATAAGAACTATCCCTCCCTTCAAACTAGAACGCTTAAGCGATTCGCGGCAGAAACGGGCAGGACGATTGTACCAATCCGTGTTGAACTATAATACGAATAGATTTACAGAGCACATTAGGTATACGGGGTGTGCTGCAAAGGTTTTTGGGAATGAAAACAGCTGAGTGGTAAACCGGTAATTTTCTAAAATATAAAACTAGTAAAATCACAGTAAAATTTTTTCAAATCTATCAAGCTGACCCGTCACAATTTCAATAGAATCGATTTGTAAATTTGCCATTAATCCGGCAACTTTTTAAATTTTCCTTATCTTGAATTCGGATTAATATGAACATCGAAATGAAAAGTCAAATCGGTAAAGTTGTTCTAAATGAAGCTCTTACCAACAAACGGCATTCTTTTAAAATGGATTAGCACTTTTAGATACGTAGGTACGTAACGATCGGATCTGTCAGAGGAAGGTTACTTTCGCATTGGTACCAATATTCCAATATTAAACCTCTAAGAGTTATAGATTAGCATACTAATTAAACATTGATTTCCGGTTCGTAATACGTCCTGTCAAACAATAATTTTAATGTAACATTTTTCATGCGGTACCTAGATAGGTTGCAGCTTTGCGATGCGATAGCTTGTTTTTTTAACATTAAAAACTCGAATACAGGTTGCAATAACGACGCAAACATTATCGTGTTAATTAAATAAGTAATATTACTACATGAATTCAATTATTACAACAACACACGATAACTTTGTTTATGAAATGAACTAGGTTATTTTTTTAATGACTACCTATTTGGTTTCCTGTTAGATAATATGTGTATTACATACTAGCCACAGGTTCTAGTGACATATTGTTAAAACGGCTTCTTTTTGATTAAACGATATTTTTTTATTTCAAATTTGACTGAAACGTTGTTAAATTTATAGTTTTACTTATTTTTATCATCATCATCATACTTAGAAAATGTATTCATGTTTCCGTTGTGTACAAGATGATATGACATACCACGATTCGTAATGGCGCTGGCAATATAGATTAATTAACGGGTTTCATATTGTGATGACATTTCAGGAATCTTCCTCGCGCGATATGGATTGCTTTGCCTCTGGTTACGATTATCTACGTCATGGCAAACTTGGCCTACTTTGCGGTCGTCACTAAAATGGAAATGATGGCAAATCCAGCCGTTGCTGCGGTGAGTTTTTATGATGTAAACGGCGAAATGTGGTTGTGGGGCGAACTACTAGTGTTACCAGAGTTCATAGATGCCAAAACATGCATAACACCATCTATCTTGACAAGTGAATTTATTTTCTCACATTTGCTGTTTTAAAAATTGTTTTTCCAACTTTTATACAGTAACGAATTAACACACACATTTTTATTTTTTTATTTCGCAAGACTTTTATCTCTTATTCATTATCTTTATTCATGTTCATCAGTGGATTATAGAATTGTCACTAGAATGATAGGATAATGTAATATTTCTTATCAAAGCGATGCATTCACAAGGAACTGAAATGAATTAATGAATATTGGTTTGATTAAATAAAGGTTGAATTCATCTCTGTCTGTGATTTGGCTGTCATTCGATTACACCTTTTGACCTAATAAGAAAAATAAACCCACACGTAAACATTGAATAGTTAATACGTTTGTTTATTCAGTTAATATTATTATTTGATTGTAGATATTCTTAATTTTTTTTTTTAAACACCACTTTAACTGGTCCCGTACTAAGTTCGTAAAGAACTTGTATTACAGGTACCAGATAACGGAAATAAATGTAAGATTTTTATTATACACATATATATATTTAATAAACATCCATAACCCTGGAAAAGACATTTCTATATTTATCATACAAATATCTTCTCTTGGCGGGATTCGAACCCGCGACCCCCTTGTGTAGTTGACCATGTCACTTACCACTACACCAGACGGCCGTTATCCTCTATATGGTAGGTATTTATACAATATACTAGTTTTAGTTCTTTTAGTTTCTTCGTGTTAGCGTCTATGAGGTGTACTATTGAATCAAAAGTAACAACTTTAAGAATTTTGTTTTGGGTACAACCTTACATGATTTTTGTAATGAATTTCAGATATTCGGTGATCGCCTCTTCGGAAACTGGAGCTGGGTGATTCCAGTGTTCGTGGCGTTGTCCACTTTTGGAGGCGTCAACGGTGTCTTATTCACGTCAGCTCGTCTATTCGCCACCGGCGCCCAGGAGGGCCACATGCCGGCGTTCTTTTCACTGTTCCACGTCGATAAACAAACTCCTATACCCTCTCTTATATTTACGGTAAGTTTTGTTGTCCCTGTAGACTTTTTATTTATTGCATAGATAGGTATGTAGACGAACTCGCGGCCTGCTTAGCGTTCTGTGGTTACCGGAACCCACATATGTACATCAATAATTTAAATGCCAACCATCATGAGTTCTGATTCTCAGTTTTACAGTACAACAGCTGACCCACCCTCCAAACCCATTACTGCTTCACGGCAGAACTGTTTCTGCCGTGCACCTGCAGAAGCAGGGTGGTGGTATCTACCCATGTGGTGTCTCACAATATGCTCAACCACCAGTATCACAAGACGCCCTGCCATCATTAGCCTAAACCACAGATTATTAAAAAGTTTTTTTTAAACTTTTTTTGCACTGCTTGTACCTAGATATATATGGTCTCACGATCTACTTATTGTTAGATTACTAGATCCAATAAGTTACCTTTGAAACCAGAACGTAATAATATTTCGCTTGAATAGTACTTGAGATGAGGCATCGGTTTGGGCTCGAGTTCGTTATAATATAATAGAAATAGGTACGTTTGTCCCTTTCCACATGGCAACCATGAGTACTCAGGAATACTCTACGTTAAGTATTCTTAATAATTTCACCGAGAAAACTGAAACCATAGACAAACATGTGCTTATTCTCGAATCTGAGATGAATTTGAATGAGACGCACGCACGATACCGTTGAGAAAGGATACCGTTGTTTCTGGGTTTCTGTGTTTGTGTCATCCTGTATGATTTAAAGGATTCATTAGCAATGTAGTGATAATAATAAATAAAATAGTAGACGCAAGTTCAAACCATAAAAGTAGTTTTAACACGTCTGTGACTTGCGAAAACCAAAGAAAGTACTTTAATACACTCGTAGTTATTATGTACAGTAGTAATATCAGTGTGTCAAATTGGAAAACCTATAATTCTACAACTTCTTGTGTTGCAGTTGTTGTAGTAGTAAAAAGCAGATTGAAAGTTTTTGTTTTTCAATTATTCGTATCGAATGATTCATTAATTCAGGAAAAAAACTGGTCACATCATATCAAAGATATTTTTATCCATGTATAATAATAACATATCAGTTTAAAAATACGCTGCATTGAAATTTGAGCTCTAAGTTTTTGAATGTATTTGTACTTTCAAATATTTTCTTTTTGAATATTTTCTCTATTCCGAATTTATTCATTTAAGACTTTTTTCAACATGAGCGCCCCGTCATCTTTAGACGGTAGAGTCTGCGAAGCACTGCTCTTGCTAGGGCTAGTGTTAGCAACGTCGCGTCGTGAGGTTTGAACCTCGTGAGCTCACCTACTTATTAGGTCACGCTGACATAAACTCTCAAGGCTATCAGCTTAAGTAGGATTTAAAATAAATAAAAACTTTGGACATACATCATAATAATAATATTGGTGAAATCTTATATATATATATCGAAAGTGTTAAATGAAAAAAATAATTGTTTTATTAATAATTGAATTATTTACAAATGCGTTACAAAACGGTTACCTATTTTATTAATGTTGTTTGTTTTCAGTGTTTCTTCTCGTTACTCATGTTGACAACTAGCAACGTTTTCGCCCTTATAAACTACTACTCGCAGATACTTTGGCTTTCCGTCGGTGCATCTGTCGTTGGAATGTTGTGGCTTCGACGAACGAAACCTGACCTGCCTCGGCCAATCAAAGTCAACATAGTTATACCGTACATATTTCTCATCGCTATTGCGTGTTTAGTTATAATTCCGGCGATTGTACAGCCCAAGGATACTGCAATAGGTATTGTTATTTTACTCTCTGGCATCCCTGTTTACTATTTGTGTGTAAAATGGCAAAGGAAACCAGAAGCGTATCATTCGTTCTCTGGTGGCATTTTGAGGTTCCTACAAAAAACATGTTCCTGTATTTATCTTGATTCCACAGAGAAATTGTCTGAGAGTTAGGTGAATGTAAACAGAATAGTTTCAAAAATGTATTTCTCGTCACGTAGGCGGTGTTTACTCGAACAATGAACCTTGAAAAATGTATATAATATCGGCTGTATTGGACCAATATTGTTATATTATTTAAAAGTGTTAAAAGAAGAAAAAAATGCTTCTTGTTTGTGATCTTCGTCGTATTTAAAGGAGTCAGTGAAGTCAACCGCCCTTTATTGGCGGGAAACATAAAATAATGTTGTCACTTCACTTGTCTATTTAGTACATTTGCTCTGTCTGCTTAAAAACTGTCATGTGTACATATAAGTTATTTTTTCTTTTTTAAATAATAGAATATTAATAATAATATTATCAAATTAATCATATGTCATTATCATTAGTGACTTCTGTTTGAACACGCATCGACATTCTTGCTGCTTATGATATGGGTTAATGGCATGTTTGGGATATTCGGAAATATACCAAATGTTTGGACCAAACACAGCGGCACTGCTACTCATGTACGCTATAAGTGAAGTGCCATCTAAAATAAATATTGCGTATTTGAAAAATGTACCACTAAAGGCTAAACTCCTCAGTATTTATACATTTACGATTATAATGAGCTTAAGTATATTTTATGAAACGTTTTAAACGTGTATGTACTCTCATTAGTATTTTGTAATTATTCAAACTATGTTTAGAGGTATGAATTATAATTTAATTTTTTTAAAATTAGTATTACTTATTTATTAAGTTAGACTGATAATAATTATCACATTACAATCAATGGTTTTATTTTTAACACGCTTTTATTACATAGCTTGACCCGTGTAACGGAATCTTTCACAAAATTCAAGGCTTTCGATTAATTTGAAAATTTGAACTATGAAAGACCTATGATGAAAATAGTTTTTAATTTTGCTTCCTGTTAAAGCGTGTTTTTATTCGTATTTTTTAAACTATATTTTTACTTCTTATCTTAATTTAGACCGACGTATTTAAATGTTTTAGTGTAGAAATTTTCTGTCCACATTAGGAAGCTGGAAACCGTTCGAAGTAATCCTAATAGCTCTCTTATATTTCGTAAAGTGAATGTGATTTCCTATAACCTATAAGTCCTATTTATTGTAGACTTATTCTTCTATTCAATATAAAGGCGCATTTAGCCCAATTATGGAATAAAACAAAAATAGCTATATAATAAAAATTTGACTGCTTTTCGTTGTTCGTTATTTGATTTCAGTTCTTTTATAAATACATACATATATATATTTTTAATGTACTACATACGAAGCCGATTTTACGGCCAACAGTGTGAAGTGTTATATGATCTCATAGAAAGCGTAAACTGAATGCCATCGTGTTGAGACATAAGGGCACTCACAATTGAATAAAGGCTGTCCCACTCTGTAATTTGAAAAACATGAGTGCTTTGAGAAAGTGTTCGAGATGATCTCTTTAGCTCTTTTATACCATCACACCTCCCGTCACCGGAGGAGGAGGCAGAGTTCAGAGGCACCTGGAAGCGCTACATTCATCGACGGTGTGTTTCCAGAGATCTTTTCTGCCACGTCCAACCGGTTTTGGAATGAACTCCCCTCTACGGTGTTTCCCGAGCTCTGTGACATGTTCTTCTTTAAACGAAGCTTGCGGAGTGTACTGAATGGTAGGCAGCGACTTGGTGGTGCCCCTGGCATTGCTGACGTCCTTGAGCGTCGGTAATCTCTAACCATAATCGCATAAGGTGGTCCGTACGCTCGTCTGCCGACACAGGCAATCTAACTCTATATATAAAAATGAATTGCTGTTCGTTAGTCTCGCCAAAACTCGAGAACGGCTGAACCGATTTGGCTAATTTTGGTCTTGAATTATTTGTGGAAGTCCAGAGAAGGTTTAAAAGGTAGATAAATATGAAAATGCTCGGAATTTAATAAAAATAAGAATTTTGTTTTCTCTTTGACGTGTCCCCCGTCGGACGGATTCCTTTTGTTTGTTTTAAATTTATTTTATACAAAAGTTTAGGTCTTTTATTTATCGATTGAGGCACTATGGAGTCTACCGGGTCAGCTAGTAGGCAATAAATAAGGCTTTCTCGCGGCAGCAATAATTTGCTTCGGCTTGGAGGGTGGGGTAGCTGTTGTTCTATAAAAATTTAGACTGAATTCATGTTTTGTTTTTAGGTACCTCAAGCACCGGTCATCGTTCTCGTCGAACCCGTCGCTTGCAGCGAAGGGCTCGACGAGTAAATTAACCCACAGACACAGCCCACTGAGTTTCTCGCCGGATCTTTTCAGTGGGTCGCGTTTTCGATCCGGTGGTAGATTCTGCGAAGCACGGCTCTTGCTAGGGTTCGTGTTAGCAACGTCGTCAGGTTTGAGCCCCGTGAGCTCACCTACTAGTTAAGGTTACTCTGATACGGTATATCTAGACCATTGGCTAAAAAAATGTTTTGTGGTGGATAGAGGTATTACCTTATTAATGTCTATGGGCTCTGGTAACTACTTAACACCAGACGGACTGGAGGTACGGCCGCTTCTCTATAAAAAAACGATAGTGGTACGCACACGTGCAGTTTCTCAATTTACCATATTACCAGTTAGTTTTGAGAAGCTGCCGGAAAAAATATAATTAGGTTAAAAAGAGGATGTTATGAAGACTAACCTAACTTAATAGGAGCTCAGGATTACGATAACAATCAAGAAAAATAATTAATATGTACCTATATAAGTTAAATCGCATCTAGTATGAAAGAAATTATTTTAAATTAAAATTTTTATATTTCGGTTTTGGAATTTTATTGAATTTTATTTTCAGTTTGTTTTTTAATCATATTAAAAGCTTTGGGTATTGTGTAAATTCAAAGGACTCGATAAGTACCTACTTATTACGAAAGCATGCCTTTTTTAGAAATAGTTATTTTGTGTCTCTTTGTCATACTCCTGTCATGAACTCGAACAGTCAAACGTCAAACGCAATGGTTTTGACTTAATATCAAACTCCATCAAAGATTGTTGTACAACTATTTTCTCTGAGTAGTTAATTATATAATATTCATTGGACAATGCTTAATCTTCGTTTCTTGACAACGTGTAACAGTATCTTTAATTTTTCTAGAAGAAACATAACGTTTTACGCACCGCTGTCTGCGCACAGGTGGTATCCGGATCCTGAGTTTGTTAAGCAATTCAACGGTCCCGTCATGTATCCCACACCAGAGACCAACAAATTTTATAAAATGATCTACAATTCTAAACTAAGGCCTCTGGAACGGAAACTACAGAATATGTGGATAAATTTCGGTCCCCAACACCCCGCGGCGCACGGCGTACTCCGTCTCATACTGGAGCTCGACGGGGAAATGGTTGTACGGGCCGATCCCCATATCGGTTTTCTTCATAGAGCCACAGAAAAATTAATGGAATCCAAACATTACAACCAAAACCTGCCCTACATGGATCGATTGGATTACGTATCCACGATCTCCAACGAAACATGCTTCGCTCTAGCTGTCGAAACGCTCCTGAACATTGAAGCCCCCCCACGTGCCAAAGCTATTCGTGTTCTTTGCGGTGAATTATGCCGCATAGCTAATCACATGCTTAACGTATCAGGCACGGTATTGGATGCTGGAGGTATAACTCCTTTTTTTTGGATGTGCGAAGAAAGAGAAAAGATTTACGAATTGTTTGAAAGGCTTTGTGGCGCGCGTGTTCATTGCGCGTATGTTCGACCTGGGGGTGTGTCCCAAGATTTACCTATTGGGTTTCTGGATGATGTCTATGAACTATGTATGAAATTGGGTGAAAGATTTGACGAAACTGAAGACGTGGCAACGGGGAATCGATTATACTATGCTAGAACAGCTGGGATTGGTGTACTTACCGCCCACGAAGCCATGAGTCTCGGATGCACAGGTCCGATGTTGCGATGTACTGGAGTTAAATGGGACTTGAGGGTAGCGCATCCTTATGATGATTACGACATGTACGACTTCGATGTACCCGTGGGAACATTTGGAGACAGTTATGATCGTCACCTTTTAAGATTGGAAGAAATGCGACAATCGCTACGCATCATCAACCAAGTATTAGATACAATACCGCCAGGGGAAATTAAAACCGACGATTCGAAAATATGTCTTCCTTCAAGAGTCGAGATGAAAACATCCATGGAATCATTAATCCACCACTTTAAGCTATGCACTGAAGGATACACGGTTCCGCCAGGAGCCACATATACTGCTATAGAATGTCCAAAAGGCGAGCTAGGACTGTACATGGTGGCCGATGGTACATCCAAACCCTATCGGATTTTTATTCGCCCTAGTTCTTATACCCATTTGATGAGCCTCTCTTTATTAGGTAAAGGTTTAATGCTTGCCGATATTGCTGTTCTCATTGCTACCGTCGATGTTGTGTTCGGTGACATAGATCGCTAGACGATCGATTTAACTTTAAATAAATAATGTTTACTGACAGTAGTTTTTAACAATAATCATTCGAAAAGATTGCAAATCGACTTTATTTGTATTTAAGTTGAAGCGGATAAAGGTTTACATTAAACAGATGACAAACCACACCTCTTCTCTTGATGGTTTCCGGCCATTTTTTCCTATTTTTTATTGGCAGTCTTTATTGCGGCTGGTTTTGCCCAAAAGTAAAAGTTGAGGGATATCACACGATACACATTGCATTACCTGCGAGCTAATCCAGGCTTCGGTAGGTATATCTAGTCTGTAGAGATTGACTGCCCTTCGACCATGGTTTTTTTACGAGCTTTCTTGTTAGGTAGATAGGTAGATAGTCAACTTTTCATCATCGCTGATTAAAAAAATAAAAAGTTTTCTTCCTTTTGTTTTGATTCATACTTTTTGGCGGGAACGTGAGATGTCAGGTTAATTTACAAATGTAGTACTTATTTCTTATAATTTAGACGAGTAATAAACGTGGCTTTGTAACCAGTTAGTATTTGTGAATGTGTATCAGTGTTGAAAATGAAGCAAAGTAGGTGGATGTAACTTCTCGGGATTCTTCCCAAATGCTCACTGCAGTTTTAGTACATAATTTCCCTCTATTTTTTTTCACTTCAGCATATGCAACCTCTACTCGTTTTATCTTATCTCACCTTAATCATTTCATTCCAATTCTCACGGTTGCATTTTTTTATTGCTTATATGGGTTGGACGAGCTCATAGCCCATCTGGTTCCTATGTGGTTACTGGAACCCATAGACATCTACAACGTCAATGCGTCACCCACCTTGAGATATAAGTTCTAAGGTCTCAGTATAGTTACAACGGCTGCCCCACCCTTCAAACCGAAACGCATTACTGCTTCACGGTAGAAATATAGGCAAGGTGGTGGCATACCCGTGGGGACTCACAAGAGGTGCTACCACCAGTAAAGTTCAGATTTTTTCAGTGTAGTTCGTTTTTTTTTCGTACTTACTACAAATTTTAATATGGCTCCAATTTTTTTTAACAAGACGTTTGGCTGTACACGTCATACCATTGCCTTTCCTGCATTAAAAAAATAAAACTACAAAATGTGTTTTTTTACATAGACCTTCAGTGGTTTTTTACCTTTCATACTTCAAAGAAATGACTCAGCTTAGAGTTGTGCTAGCAAAGGAAAAACACGACTCGAGTTGATTCGATTTGAAATAAACGTAGCTTTGGATTAACCGGCCTAATGGTATAATAATATAGTATAAAGTCACCACCGCTTATGGAAATCAGCAATGCCAGCCAAGCACAACCAAGCCACTCCTATGAGTTAGTATATTCCTTTTTTAAATTTGTATTTCATGTAGCCCTCCGTTTTCATTACAGACCTACTCAACTTAGCAGGTAAGATTAAAATGTAGTTCAGGCCCTGGTATTATTTTATTGTGGAACTATTATAATTTATTTTAACCAATATTAATAAGAAAAACTAAAAAAGCTTACCATAGACAAGCGCTTCGCTGCGGCGTGGTCTCAGAGTTTAGCGAACTGGTCACTACTCGTCAGCCGTACTGCGGGCTATCGAGAGGATGCGATCCTCGAGGATAGGGTGAACCACGACCGTGGACTTCTCACCTTCCAGTTGACGCAGGTGCTCATGGGTCAGAGAATTTTATTATGCCTATGGCAGACTTAGTATCATCGTCCCTGTCATTTGGATGATACATTTACGGGAATATAAAATGCCGAGACGAGCTATAGTGCTTTCGCTTACTTGTATAAATCGTTCATTGTCAGTGAACTCAAGCATGAATTATCGAAAAACCGATTCGAGATTACGCGTAACTCGAGTTAGAAATCGAATTGAACAATTGCTAACTAGCGCAACATTTTGTTGTTTTCATTTATCATTGTTTTGTTTTGCTTAAAGTGTCGTTGTATTTAAACGCATATATTTTCTATTATTAATGTAACAAAAGATTAAAAATGTTGCGATTCAAAATTATTTCGTCACGGACAGTGGATAGTTCTGAGACCGAGAAGAAATTTGTAGCCTACATGGTACAGGTGAATCGAGAAACGGATTTGGCTGATCAAGATCCTGCGAACGTTGAAAGAAGATACACCCATTTTTTGGATCTATATAATGGTTTAAAAAAGGAACAACCGACGCTGCTTAATAATTTATCATTTCCGAGAAAGGTAGATTGTTTATTTGGTTCTAATACTGTGTTGTAATTAAATATTACCGTATTCTCTTTATGTAATGCGTCTCATGAAATTGAAAATCATCCGAAAAAGAGGCGTGTTTGCGTAATGATCTTATCAAAATGAAACAACACGTGAATCACAATAGCATTAAACTAAACCAAGAATATTCGGCGTCCTTACAAAGTGTAAATTTACCATAAACAAGGCTAGGAATGGTTTTTTTAGGTTCGGGGCTTACATAAACCATGATTCATTTTATTTATTTGGAAAATGATTCATTGTGATGCTAATTGCCTACATACATTTACAATTTGCTTAAAGTGTTAAAGGAGACATTTTAAAATCCTGATGGCAAAATACATAGTTTTGATACATATAAGGATGAAACAAAGCATTGTAATTGTAATCACATTGTGTAAATGTCACATGATAAGGAAGTTCACTGAATGATTAATTAGCAATAAATACATATAGTTATAGTTGATAAGTTTTACTGGTGGTTGGGGGTCTTGTGATCCTGCAGGTCCACCAACCTGCTTCTTTTGGGTGAATCAGTAATGTGATTTAATAATAAGGGTGGGAAGGCTGTTGTAGTGCATTGTTGATGTCTATGGGCTCTGGTAACTAAGCAAGCAGTATTAAATATAATAATATTTCAAAAGCTTACAGTTATTACAGTTTCAATACTTTTCAGAGATTGTTTTTTATTAACTAGTGTAGGGTGTGTTATGAAAAATATAAAGGTATAGATATACTAAGATCACTGAATCTCTGTAAAGTTTTATAATGTAAAAAAAAGTAGAATTGTATGATTTTGATTTTAACTTCTTTTCAGACTGTAGTAGGCAACTTTGATGCCAATTTAATATCTACTCGTTGTGCAGCATTTGAATCACTGTTGGATTTAATGAGCAATGACTCAAGACTCCGAGATTGTCCGGCAGCAATCACATTCTTCCAGGATGTGGAATTGAGTGAAGCCAAGAGACTAATTAATGAGGGTAAATTTGACCAGGCACTGTCCATACTAGAAACAAGTTTCAAATTATTAAATAAGGTAATCATTTTTTTGCATGCTTTTCTTTCATTAAAAAACAATATTTTCTTCTATATTGTGGGTACACATATGGAACACAAACAAGTGTACGAAAAATGAAATAACTAGAGAAATATTGACTGTCATTGTGAATTAAATCGGGAACCTGGACTGGACTGGACTGTACAGAAGTCAGTATCTGATGGTACAGTACTACTTACTACCCACTAGGCAAACAACCTGATTTTGCAGCCAAGCTATTCATAATTTCATTGAAACTATTGTACATTTATTAATATTTTTATTTAATTTTGTTTGAAGTAATTAGTATCATGTAATAGCTTACATAGCTTACTTCTACAATTTAGAAATTGAATTCAAGTTCAAAGGAATTTTTTATGTTACATAAGTAAAGCTTAATCTTTTGGAACTATATAGGTTGCAATATTTACACTGTCTACGAGTAGTTGCCAAATACTAAAAAAGTGACAATTTTTACTGAACAGATTTTTAAATCATGAGAAATTAAATTATATTCATGTAACAATAGTATATTTATAATTATCTGTATCATTTATGTACTTTTCATATAATTTGTGGACATTGTGGAGCTTATTAGTTACTCATTAGTTAATTGTTGTTTACAGTTTTGTTCTGTTTATAAAAAACAGGTGTATCAATTTCAGATTAACTACATTCCTAAATCAGATTGAGCATATTTATAATAAACCTTAAATTGTAAACTATGTGTTTCAGGTTTATACAGACAGATCAAGGGTGGTGCTTTGTGCTCTTTGTCGGATTGTGGCATGCGCTGGAGCTAGTGATGGTACATTAGCAGGGCCAGTGGAACGGTGGGCACAGCTTGCACTACGAAGATACGAAGCAGTCAGTGATTCTGATTTACTCCTGATATACATACCATTGCTTCACACTTGCATAAACATTTGGTAAGACTTGAATTGTACCTGCTAAATATTTTCTTTTTTTTTATTGCTTAGATGGGTGGACGAGCTCATGGCCCACCTGGTGTTAAGTGATTACCGAAGCCCACAGACATATACAACATAAATTTTCCCAATTTTCTAAGAAATTTCATTCACAAAAAAAAAAGGTCTATTATCGCAATTACTATCTAGATCAGGCCTGGGCAAATGGCGACCCGCGGTAGAACTGTCTCTGGCCCGTGAAGCATTGTATATATTATTATTAAAAACACAAATATTAGTTTTTGTCTATCATAAATTTTATTTTCAATTTTTTTATTCATATAACTTGATAAATAAGTATTTTGATTCAAAAATGTTGGTTTTAAAATTCATTAATTGACATCCTTAGCAAAAACTATACTTAAAATTAGAAAAAAAAAACTGTTTGGCCCGAGGTAAAATTTTCATCTGCAATGTGGCCCGACTATCAAAATATTTGCCCACCCATGATCTAGATTATTCTAGATAGACAAGCCAAAATTTTGATATTGTGTTAATTTGAATTTGTTTGATTAAAGCTTCTTGCTAGATAAATTTTTGGGAACTAGGAAAAATCTATTCGTACAATAATAGCACCAGTTCTATTATTGTTGAAAATGTATTTAATTAAAACTGTCTACTGATGTCCACAGTCGAGATTCTAGCGTGACTCAGAACTACTTGACTTGATTGACTTCGATTTGGATTTACGAAATAGGTACTTCCTGAACATGACAGTTATTGTCAGTAAAACTAATGAGTGAATATAGATAATAGCCATTGTTACAGTATGTAACAAAAGTAGTTTTTCGACTTTAAAAATTGGAAATATGTACCTACTTAGTTTGCCGTATATTTAAATATCGTTTATTATGATATCGTATTATATGTCGTGATTTAATTGTAAATGTATTGTTCAATATCAATGTCACTGTATTATCATTAACTTAACTGTATTTTTACATAGAAAACAATAATCGTAAACACATTATAATTCTATGATTTGAAAGTATTTTACTTCCATTTTTCATCCATTTACAATAATTCATTAATATATCATCTTTAGTACATTGTGTACCAAGGGAGAAAAGTAGGACATTTCCTCCAGCGTGTAAAATGCAAAAACGGGGCATGAGATGTCCTACTTTTCTCCCACGGTGCACATACGATTTTTTCTCCTACCAGGCCCAAAGTTCGTGGAGTACCGAGCCGGGCTCCAGGGGCGAAGTCCTGGCCGGGGGTAGAGGGGGGGCCAAGCCCCCCTATTCTCATAAAAAAACAATTTAACTGTTTTTTTTATTTTTAAATAAACTACTACTAATTGAATAAGAACTGTCTGATGAACTCATATTTGTTTAATACTTCACTATTAAATTTTATTGCCTTTTGTTTTTCACTTTTACACTAAACACAATAGTGCAAATTATCCGAGCACAACAATGACGGAGAATTTTAGGTGCGTGGGAGCAGACGTAGACACTAACGCGCATGCGCACTTGTACCCAGGGAGGAAAAGTTAGACTTTCTTCCCTGTACAGCGCGAGGAAAACCGAACTTTCGGCGTAGGTAGGAGAAAAAATGTAATGATAAATAAACTTAGTGTTAATGTAGTATATAGTATTAAATAGGCTAACAGTAAAGTAATTAGCATTTTACCAACATTCATGTTCTATTAAAAAGCTTTCCTTTCCTTTATTCCAGGGAAACACTTGGTAGAGATAAATCGAAGTTAGTTGAAGAACTAAATGACCTTCGCAAACGAGGAATGAAGGTGGATTCCGTGCCCACATTAATGGAAGCAGTCGACACTTTAGACACCATGTAATTATTAAACATCAATATATAATGACATATACCGAGAGGTATTTAAAGGAATCATCATTATTATTATGATTTTAATGTTCGGTAATGTAGACTCCAGCTTTGATGTAATTATGAAAGTGTCCTTTGTTATTTTTTGTGTTCAAATATGGCAACCTAATTTTGTATGGTGATGAATAACCCCGCTGTAGTCTATGTTTGAATTGCCTGCCACGTTCTCTATTGTCTTCGGCATATAAATTTATCTCTAAAGGCTGATTGATATATATATAATATCATCTCACTGTAGCTTTCAATATTACTATACACAAGTAAATTGTATTGCTTCCTAGTATAATATTATTGTAGCTATTTAAGAATAACATTTATTTTTATTAAGAAAACTATAAAAAAATTACAAACACACAATGCGATATTAGTTTTAAGGGATTGCATATATCGAAGTTATAGTAGGTAATTTTTTGACAACTATTAATTTTATTAAGTTTTTGATGTAAAATAATAAAGGCCTGACCGATTTTCATTCGAATTGAAAGTCTAAATGAAATCGAATAATTAATGGCACGTCTTTGCGCCCAACCTAATGTTGAATAAAATTGAAATATATCAGTTCTTTGACGACTCGCTCCTCATCTATTGTACGTGGATAGAAGCCAGGAACCTTACTCTAAGTGCCAACTTTGACTGTGCAAAGTTTTCAACTGTTGCAGCTATCACACGAAGAAATTAAAGAACCTCTAAACATAAACATATTAGCTGTACCCGTCCGCTTCGCTGGGCATTTAAAATTAACATTATCATTTCTCACCCCCACAAAGATTCTCATCATTAACGCCCCCGCAACTGGTGTAGGGAGTCCATCACTCATATAAATATTAGCCTATCCATTAATAACGTGTATTTTCTACATGGATACCAAGTTTTAAGTCAATCGGATGCATGGTTCAGTAGTTCAGGAACATCCGTAAAAACTTCTGTAGATTTATATATTATATATTAGTACTAGCTGACCCGGCAGACTTCGTAGTGCCTCAATCGATCAATAAAAGACAAAGTTTTGTATAAAATAAACTTAAAACAAACAAAAGGAATTTGTCCGACGGGGGGACACATCAAAGGAAAAACAAAATTGGTATTTTTATTTAATTCCGAGCATTTTCATATTTATGTAACTTTTAAACCTTCTCTGGACTTCCACAAATAATTCAAGACCAAAAGTAGCCAAATCGGTCGAGCCGTTCTCGAGTTTTAGCGAGACTAACGAACAGCAATTCATTTTTATATAAATAGATAGATAGAAGATAGATAAATAAATAATTGATTGTCTACCATTTTGTTGCTTTTTTATACTGACAAAGGATTGATTTTGACAAAAAAGATTTACATCACAACAACATTCACACGTGGTTTAAGTGAAACCTTCAAAAATTTTGGCTTCAAGATAATGAGACGAATGTAAAATTTCGGGAAGAGGATAATTATTGGACGTTTTAATAATTATCATAGTGATGCAAAGTTTGATAATTATTTTACATTTTATTCGTATATATTACATAGATTTATTCAGAATGTATTAAGTACGAATATTAGGTACGAAGCAGATCACAAAGAGAACCTTTTTTTATGTTTGAGAGATTACTGGTGGCCCGGAGTCCTTTCCAGTTTTACCAGGGCAGGTGGGTGAGCATAAATAGATACACTAATTTTAGAAAAGCTGTATAATGTTTCCTATCTCATTTTCTCCCACGTTAAATCATAGAATTTATGTGTCTGTCTCTTTTTACTGTCGCTTTTTCGTTTCATCGACTTTCAAATCACAACGATGCTAAAGAAGTTTTTACTTCAAAAATCACGTTACCATTCATAAAACTCAATCCGTAATGCGTTAGGTTTTAATAATTTCAAAGAGTGGCAGATCAGTGCAGTGATTGTGTTAATTAATTTTAAAATATGTAACTGTCAGTACACCTTATGTTGTTTAAAAATTGTTTTACTGCAATTCTTTATGGTTAACCATATATTATAATTTTTCAATAGTAACGAAAACGCTTTAATTATAAATTTGATAATAAATACGGTTTTAAACTCAAGAATATCTTCTAATCGGTTTGCTATTATAGTTGAGTTCTTTTTGTGTGATGTTCAAATTAAATGTTTGTCTCAAAAACATTAAAAACCTTTGTCTTCTTTTGAATTACAAGGTTTATGATGTAATATAATTATATTATTTACGTTCTTATTCTAAAATATTATACAAATGGTCTAGTCTTTGATAAAAGTTTATTTTGACTCATAAAATCTTTGAATCTTTTTATAAATTATGTTGATCAATTTGTTCGATAATGTGTATATTTGTTTTGAGTTTATATTTAAATTAAAATCTTATACTGTATCATAGAGTCTGTGTATAAATTTTGCACGTTTGAAAAATAATGAAATATATTTTGTAATAAAATTAAATCATAGTCAATTTATTATTATGCAAGTATTTTAGCGATATTATTGAAATATTTATTTGTGTAGCTTCTAAGTAAGGTGACTGATGTTTTATACATTTTAGTGATATTATAATAGTTTAAACCATTTGATTAATTGTTTTATTTGTCTTAGTGAATTATTAAAACGTTAAGTCTCTCACAACGTTTACTCTGTAACGACCATTTGAATACAAAGAGCAGTTAGATATAATGGACGATAGTTAAAGACGGAAGAAAGAAATAAAAAAGAAAGCAAAACAATCTTAGCCGATGACAAATGCAAAGAAAAAAATAATAATTAATGAATAGTATGTACCTAAATATGAATTAAGGTTGTTAATAAAGGCTTCTTTATCTTTATCTTTATGGTTAAAGACGGAATGGCGTGAAGTGGAAGACTATATAAGATTACTTCGTTCGCCCATAGGGTTACTTACGGTTAGCGCCATCATTTTCTATTCAATAGGTTGCGACTTCCAACTGTCACTATGTCATAATTAGTTTCTCCAGAATTATTGCAGAAGGTTTTAATTATAGTGTTAGATAGGTGCTTACTGGTGGTAGGATGTCTTGTGAGTCTGCACGGGTAGATACCACCGCCCTGCCTATTTATGTCGTGAAGAAGTAATGCGTTTCAGTTTAAAGGGTGGGGCAGCCGTTGTAACTCTACTAGGGACCTTAGAACTCGTATCTCAATGTGGGTGGCGGGATTTACGTTGTAGATGTCTATGGGCTGCGGTAACCACTTAACACCAGGTGGGCTGTGAGTACGTCCACCAATCTATGCAATAAAAATAAATAAATAAACTTACTTAATTTTTTTTCTCTATCGCTGGTAGTCTAAGAGGCTATTCCAGCTACGCCCGGACGGATGGGAGGCTCACGGGCTCAACCTGAGAAAATTTGCTAACACTAGCCCTAGTAAGAGCAGTGCTTCGCAGAATCTACCACCGGATCAGAATCACGACCCACTGAGAAGATCCGGCGAGAAACGCAGTGAGCTAAACCGTTTTCCATCGCCTCGCGTGGCATTTCAAAATTTTCTATAAAAAGTTTCCCAAAATCTGTAAAATCGAATGGAACAAAGTCTGGTGAGTATGATGGGTGACGAACATTGTTCAGCTATGACCTGGTTTGAGACGGTTCGGTTTGTGGTGTGTTAACAAAAGGAACAGGATAAATTGACGGACTTGCAAATTATTCACAAAACATAGCTACTGGTGGTAGGACCTCTTGTGAGTCTGCACGGGTAGGTACCGTGAAGCAGTAATGCGTTTAGGTTTGAAGGGTAGGGCAGCCGTTGTAACTATACTGAGACCTTAGAACTTCTCTCTCAAAGCGTGTGGCGCATTTACGTTGTAGATGTCTATGGGCTCCAGTAACCACTTAACACCAGGTGGGCTGTGAGCTCGTCCACACATATAAGCAATAAAAAAAAGTACAAAAAGAGCTTGAAGGTTCCAAAGAAGCTAGGAAAGGAGACGATTAGGAATACTGAATTTCCCTCGTATGTGGGCTACAGTTTACTAATACCGGATGAAAGGGAAAATCGTCTCCAACACGAAAACAGGTCCGGTGGTTCCGTGTAGGTACAAACGAAAGTTTAGATGTTTTTTGGACAGCACCAACTTAACAATTAACCCAAGAAGGTGGTGGAGCGTAAGAGATAGCTCTTCCAGCTCCACTCGGATGCGCCGCTGTTGAGTAAAGCACAGGTGGATAGCTTATCCCAGCTCTAGTACCGATAAGCGGAAGCCTCCCTCAGTAACAACTCGAAGCGATGAGAGAGTTCAATGGCGCGTGGCGTGATACAAGCATCGGCGTGCCGCATAGTTGTTTTTACTGAGGGACCACTTGGGGGTACCTATATCGTCGTTCTCTGACCCGAAGGGTTGGACGCAGATTCGTTTTCGTTCACGACTCCGTCGGCGATCACGGTTCTTTGACTGTGATTGTGTCTCTCAGGTTCTATTTCAAGTGGGCCTCGCATGTTTAGGCGAGAGTGCCTACACGAAAGCCGTTTAGTCGGTGGCTTCGGCAGTCCCAACTACAAAAAATCCAACTACCCTCTTGGCACCCCTACCCTGTAGAAATTGGCCTTGGTAAAAACGGAGCGAACGTAAACTTCTTGCACTTTAGATGACCGATTCATAAAATATTAACTTCTTGAAATAATAAGTAAAATGTAGATGGACACTGATTTAAGTTACAATGACTAACGTGAACATATAAATAGGTAGGTACGTATAGTTTTATTAAGTTCATCTAAGCCTCAATCACATTGACTCACTCTGCAAAGCGGAACGCATGGCTGCTTTGCGGTATAAATAGTGGTACCCACCCGTGCAGGCTCATACGCTCTACAGCAGTGAAACTTGGCTTTTTACATTATACATATAATACATAAACGATATGTGTACTAATTTTATCGTATATTTTTTTGAAACTAAACAAATTATAATGCTGCAAAAGAGAAACGTCTCTTCGTTTTCATGTTATAAATTTGAAACAATTTATTTGATTGATTGGGGATTCACCAAAGCAATTTGCCGTTAGTAATGATGCATTATATCCCGGTTCGTCACACGACATCGTGTTCGCGTTGTGGTGGCTAACGAATCGACATAATATACCTACCTACGTTAATTTCAATGGAAATTTCGAGATATTTTATTATAGTAAATATTTTTATTTTCTTCGTATTCTTCTTCTTGTGTAGTGAAGTAAGCAATTCAGAAAATGTCTATAGAAATCGGTATAGATAGATAATTTTTTTCGAATTCAGACGAGCATCAACTGCACCTAATGGTGAGTGATAATCATCACTCTAGAAGATCATTAATGCCAGAGCCCAGACCTTCAAATCTCGTTTGAAGGTCAAGTCATAGTACTCGGTAAATACTGTGGAAGAGAAAAAGTTTTGCATGGAAACGGATGAGCGGTCTCAGTGAATTTAGCTACGGTGGCGAGCGGTGCGATGGAAAAATGGAGATGAAGAGATTGTCTTCAATAATTTTTCAGAGCACTACCTTTAAGAAGCATTTGGTAGCTATTTCAAAGACAGCGAAACTCACTTTGAATGATGAGTTTCTAAGGGCTTCGTTAACTGCAATTATACTGTCATATGACAGAAGTCTAATTGCTACTAGGTAAAAATTAGGACGGCAATGAGGACTAATGAGGGCTCATGCCGATCTACTATCAGTATCATACGTCCTTTTAGCTAATCCAGTACCCAGAAACAATAAAGAAAAATATTGATCATTCTACAATATCGTAAAACGATAACGCTAAAGTACACAATTGTTATTAAACATAATAGAGGTGGGCGGCACGCGAGGCAACCCTCAAATCACCTAATTGATTCGCGTGGTATGTCTCCTTAAGACGGTCGCTTTCAGTTATAAGGCTTTAGGGAATTGCCGATACGGGACTCCCAACCTTGTTAACTCCATGACTAACTTTATGGTATGCGGCACGCGATTTATAAGCATTGTTAAGTACTCTATTAATGAGTGAAATTACAAAAAATTCCAATATTCTTTTAAATCTTGAATTTACGTAAATTAGATCGTACAATTTGAGAGAGGAATGTAGTTACGAGATTGGTTTTCGTAGTAATTTACTTTTCACTTCCAATAGCCATATAAAAATCTAACCTAAAATTAACAATAAAGAATAAATCAGTTCAGAAAATTATTTTCGAAATGCAATGTTAAGGGTGTTTAGATAGATAATATTTGGAGGTATTTTTTTCCTTATTGTCGTCACTTGGAAGTACATGCAAAGGAGTCTTTAAGGAACAAACTTTGTTTTAAGCGCGTCCCGTGCCCGCTATAAATCAGACGTTCAGAATTTACGAGGGCCCTCCGCAAATCGGTTTATATTTTCGATAAATAAAATTGGCGCGGGGTTTGCGAGGTAAGCAGAGGCCGTTAGGAGCGCGTCGCCTCCCGGTGACGCCAGCTGCCGCGTGCACATAAACCCGACTACCCTCGCGTTTTCTTGCTGACAATTTTTTCCCGCTCCGGTCATTACGCAGCTGGGCCCCGAGACAAAACGGCGAATCGTTTAAGCCCTCTCCGGAGACCGTCCAATTTTATTGTGTGTACCTAGTCGAAATTGATATGCCACGCGAGCGACGAGTCGTCGGCTTCGTCCGTATGACGGACACAGGTTCCGCGCCGGACCATTTGCTGGCTCGCAAGTCAACGACAGGAAAATTTACATACTTCCATATTGGGTTTTTAGATAAGAAAAAGGGAAGATAAGAGAAAAGAACCAACGACTAATCTTGATAAGCAATGAAGTAACGTTGATAATTTAAGGAATACATGACACGTTTTTAAACGAAAGTTCACAAGTTCACCTACTGGTCATAAAAAAGTTTGGAAAAGTCGCAGTTCCAAAAAAAAATATTAAATTTAAAACGTCGTCATCAACACACTTTTAAGCTAGCTTTTTCTATAGCTATTAATGCTAACGTATCATTCCATAGACACAGCCGATTGAGCCTCTCACCGGATTTTCTTTAATTTCCCTACCTATTCGTTGGTAGCCTAAGAGGCTATTCCCGCTCCGCCCGGACGGGTAGGTGAGCTCACGCACTTAACCTGAGAGAATTTGCTAACACTACCCCCTAGCAAGAGCAGTGCTTCGCAGAATCTACCACCGGATCGGAATCGCGACTTACTGAGAAGATCCGGCGAGAAACTCAGTGGACAGTTTTCTTTTAAAAACACCGCGGATCTTCTACCTTCGTTATACTTGTATGTATATACATATACATTATACATATATATTTAAGACCTACGGCTCAGATGATTTATGGTCAGGTGTAGGGTAGCAATCCTAGGGACATGGTCGCTACGGGGCAACCTGAGGAGCCGATGGACGTGCGGTGCGCCACCAGCACTCTGGAGCGCTGCTTGAGTGTTGTTGTACGGAGCTGCTGTGTTGAAGAGTGGTTGTATCGCTTCCGTCCTGGCAGGTTGGTTCTGGTCCAGCGACGTATTCCGAGACACCAGCCTGGGGCAGCCTGAAGGGCTACACCGTGGTGGCTGACGAAAAGTCGTCGATTATCGCTTCGACAACTCCGGGCGTCCTCGGTGAGCACGCATCTGGTTGTAGTGTAGATCGCGGTATCAGATCTACTTTGGCCGGTTTCTGTCTCAGACGGGGTTCGGGCGAGAGTGCAGGGGAGTCGTTTAGTCATTGTTAACATCTCGGTCATCATCATCGGTAGGCAGCGGCTTGGCTCTGCCCCTGGCTGCTGAAGTCCATGGGCGACGGTAACCACTCACCATCAGGTGGGCCGTATGCACGTATGCCTACAAGGACAATAAAAAAAAAACTACGGCCACCGAGACCTACATATCCCGCGCGCCCCTAGGTGCGGAAAGCACGCAGCAGATTTGTCCAAATAAAACAGGTCACACCCATGCTTAACACCGAAGACTCTTTAAGTCGCCATGTCGTAGGCAAGCGGCCGTAGCGTTCGGGAAACATCCTGAAAGTTGATTCCAGATCCGCACGGCACGAAGAAAAACTATTTCTGAAAACACATTTATAATGCAGCAGTTCTAAGAAAAAGGTATGATCTCTGCTCCGGTGCCGGTAGTGAGATATTTAAATAGAATTAATGAAATTATTATTAATAAATTGCCTGCATTGCTTAGTTCGGCATTATAGTTTTAAAAGTAGGTACGTATTTTACGAACATTGTAAAAATGAAAATGAAATGTGTCTTTAGAGTCCCTAGTTTTTAGCCACAAAACCACGAAGAAGGCTTTAATTTAAATTTTTCTACGAAATTCTATTTGTTTTGTAGTTTTCTGACAGCTTTGTTAGACAGAGTATTTAGTGGTTTAATAAATAGAATCATAGCTGTTTAGAATGTTGGTCTCAAAAATTACGTTTTTCTTTAATTATGTCTGATAACAATGATTGTGACGTGGCTGCAGTGTTTCTAGCCGTGTTGGTATTTGCATTGCCGCTAACACTTTTGATCCCAGGGTTTTCAGTGTGGAACGTGGTGCCCAAGTTTCGAGTGACCAGGTTCCATTTTGTTAGCCAAGATGTTACCTGGTTACAAATTAATGCCGGAATTATAACAGTACTAACCATTTTCTTCTGTCTGTATCTTGAGATACGGAAAAGAAAGTAAGATTTATAGTTGCTTAATATTAATATTCATGGTCATTCATTTTTAGCACGATTTTACTAGCTTAATCTATACGTCTTTACTTAGTACTCTCTCTTTACTTAGTAGTCTCTACTTAGTAATTTTAAGATGTCCGATTAAGTTGCAAATACACACATTATTATCAAGAACCGATGACTATACAATATTTTCTTTAATTTTGCCTGATATATCTACTGACTAGTGTTGGGATCAGTAGTATAAATAATTCATTATTTGAATTTGATATTGAAGTGAGTTTTTTTTGTTTTTGAATCTTCTGGATTTATAAACAATCCTCTACTTGCTTTATTATACGCATTCCATTTCCGAGAAAACTGTATGTGTTCGGTATTGTGGTTTAGGTTATATTGGTTGTTTTTTGACTATTGAGTTTTCTGTTTATGTACAAAACCACAGTCCCTCTTGTTAAGTATTCGCCGGAATTTATAGACATTAATTACTAAATAAGTAGTAGGTAAATACGAAAATTAAATTGATATGAAATCATGGCTGCTTTGCACTTTTACGCCAGAGTAACAATTTTGGAGACTTAATCACCACAACATGCTTTGGGATCGGAACGAATATAATCTGAATAAAAATTCATTTAAATTAATAAAAAAAAGATCTACTAATGTGTTTGTGATGTTTTATTATTTAGATTAGACGATATGGTTGAAAATGTTCTTACGGTGAGCCAAGCTACCGATGCCACATTGGAGGTAGAACGTGGTCGTCAAGCCGCGGCGGTGAAGGTCTGCGTGGAGCTTCTCGATGCTTCCACTGAACATTACGAGCAATTGGCACTGCTGCGAGATGAGCTGCAGAAACGAAATGTAATGAAAAGGCAATACCCACCCGCCATCGAACTGAGTTCCTCAGAAATGTGTGCATGAAATATTTTGAAAGATTGGAATAAAATTATGATTTAAATTAACTTATTTTTCTTCTTCTATGTTATAACCAAAGCCAACTTATTGCTACAGTAGGCTAGGCTTTACCGGTCCATCCATAATAATATGTCAAGTGATGCTATAAATAATTGCAGCTCTTCGAAAGCAGCTATGTCACAAGCTGTGCCTATGTGAATTGGGCGAACATGTAATTTTGTGCTTGGAAAAAGTGTAGCATAGCACTACCCTTAAGCACCAATCGTCCTCGCCGGAAATTTTCAAGTTCAGATTAAAATCGCACTACCTTGCACAATAATATGGCTCCTACGATATAACTGTACAAGTTGCTACTTATTTTGTATTTACTTGCATATTTTTAGTATTTATTTGTATTTAATCGCATGTAAGTCTATCTTATATTGTATTTATTTTTCACATGTGTATATAAGTATATATCTTTATGCGAGTTTATTAAGATAGCACCGTCCATGCTAGTTTGCTTATTCCTCTCCCTGCAAGGTTGCCTGGAAGAGATCGCTTTCAGCGATAAGGCCGGCAATTTATGTCACCGTCTATTATTTGTTTTATATGCTTACTCTGTACATGTGGTTTTAAATAAAGAGTTATATTATCTATATATTAATACGTGAAGCAAAAACTTTGTATTACCTTTTTACGAAACCCTTTTTGCGAAAATTGCGCGGACGGAGGAGTATGAAAATTTCCACACTTATAGAGAATATAGAGAAGAATTGCACAATGCTAATATTTTTTTTAAATAATGCATAAAAGATACATTAAATCAATAATGAAAACATTACACACACTACATACCATGTATTTGACGCACACACGCATGCATACTATTTATTGTCAAACTTTTGTTCTTGACGTCTGTTGTCAAATTGGGAATAGATTAAATATTTTTTGTCTTTATTAATATTTTTTTATAGTGTAGCCTTGGAGAAATTTGTGATTATAGAATTATAAAATACAATCATAATAGTGTACAAACTTACAATTCCAACTATAGTCGAATTTCGACTACTGCGGGATCTCTAGTTATTATTATTATGCATAAATTTGTTTTTGTATGTGTGTGCCGTTTATTTATCCACGCACTTACCTTTTCGGCAGTATTTTTGGATGACTGATTAAGAATTATTTAGGCATTATACAAAATAAATAAATAAATATATTGATATACAAAGTTGGTTGTATTATGTACATACTTATTGGATTGAGTCTAGCCATTGGCAGATAGAAGTGTTCATTTGAGCTCCCGAGGTTCCCACGGGACATTGGCGACGAGAAAAACTAATCTAGAGCTGGCAATTATTGCAAATGACCTAATTAGACGATCTTGGTTCGCCAGTATCGTTATAGGAATGGTTTTTTCCCGACTTTTTTTGTTGTGATGTAGATGGCCAAATGATGAAACCGTATTCACGAGTATACATTTAAATTAGCTAAAAATATTGTGTGAAAATCATTAATATCAATTGTTCCTAAAACCAAAAGAGAAAAAAGTGTATTTTAACATAAGTGGTGTATAATCTTTATTTATTAAGCTGTAAATACTGATGGTTTTATGACGAGACCATAGCCACGCGTCATGTGGAAACCTTTTGCAAGTGTTTACGTAGTCATTATGCCTATTTTTGTCACAAAATAAGCTTGCTTTTCGATTTGAAGAACTGAGTCTTAAGCCGCATATTTATACGTACCTAGGCGACGACATGTTGTGGTAGATTCCGTCAGCTATAGAACCTAGTGAGCGTAATTTGTCCATCTAAAAGAATTAGAAAGAAATATACTTTATTAAAAGGTATAAGAACTATAAAAACTTTATTGACTTAGTTTTAAAAGTGCGACCACGGGATCGCATTCGTCTCTGTGGCAGATATTCGTTTGCCGGTGCGATACGTTTTGCGGTAACACTTCTTCCTGTATTTTCATTAGTCGGATCCGGTGGGACCGGATCAGGCGCTCGCAAAAATAAATAAAACTGTTATTGAGATAAGCATCTGCGCTGTGAGGCTTTTCGCTAAGTCCCGCTGTGTCGCGTCGAGCAAAGTACCGAGATGTGTTCGGATTACAGCGCGCCGCATCTACGCTCTCCTCGACTGGTTTTCTTCAGTGTTTTGCAGCTGAAACTGTTTTACATAAAAATTGTATTAAACTATTACCAACTCAGATTACAGTATTCAATAACGCTAATGCTTGATGGTTTTTTTTTGTTGCTTAATGAGTGGATGAGCTCATAGCTCACCTGGTGTTAAGTGGTTACTGGAGCCCATAGACATCCACAACGTAAATGCGCCACCCACCTTGAGATATAAGTTCTAAGGTCTCAAGTATAGTTACAACGGCTGCCCCACCCTTCAAACCGAAACGCATTACTGCTTCACAGCAGAATTAGGCAGGGCACCTACCCGTGTGGACTCAAATTACGGTTTTATTACTTGTATTGGTCAGGTCAATTTTACAAAGAACATTGAATGAAAATAATCACAGCACGCGCGTATGTACTACTTGACCGTACAATACAAATACACGTTTGTGCCAACCAGTATTGTATCTACCCGCGCGGACTCACAAGAGGTCCTACCAACAGTAAAATTACATAAAAATTGTTTTAAGCAATTTCCAACTCAGATTACAGTATTCAATAACACTAATGTTTGATGGTCCGTATAAGCGTGTGTTTAAGATTTTACCTATGTAATTGGCGCTTTGAATAAATGTTGTACTTGTAGGAACACAATCGATTGTTACCGCTAACAAGATCTACCCACGCAAAGGATCATCTATGTATTCTTTTCCATAAAAATTGCATCGGCCCTAGAGCGTTTCGTAAATTGATACTAATTTGGTGTAAATTATACCTAAATAAAGTTTAATAAATTAGATTTTTTGCCATAAATGAGCTTGATGTATAATTGAGGATTAGGTTGCAATTTGGGTAGACGCTCTAACTGTTTGGGCGGCTTATGGTGGCGGGAAATTGGTCGAGCATACCACCTGCGACAACCACCTGGATTAATTTCTCATCACAATCCCGCCTTCCCAAGAAAATAATGAAGAGGACATTCATAAAGAAAAAAAATATCCACTAAGCCCAGGAGGACGTCAGTTTTGTTGATTAATAAACTCTCGGTACGGCTCTTGTACCGCAGTTACACTTTTTACGACACTGGTTTACGCTGAAATAGGGACGAAAAAATATGAAACGAGTCAAGGAAAAATATATCCATAGACATTTCCCGGGTGCATTGGGAGCTCGCCTATTCGCCAAAACAACAGATAAAACTCGAAATGTGATTGTTTAGAAACAGTGTTATACGCAGTCAACAGCGTTCGCGACAGAAGGAACAATTTCACGGTTCACAACCTCTTACCCTGCAGTATCCCATATTGTTTTTTATTACTTCGAATCATCTAAGTGAGTGCGAGACGAGGAAAACGCAATCTAGATGTAAGTGGTACATGTATTAAAAACCAAAATGATTTTTTTTATTATTTCCGAATAGAAGAAAATTTGTTATATGATTATGAGAATGATAGGTAGTACAATGGAATTTTATGTGATCAAGATAATGATCAAAACTCATTTTGTATATTACCTACGCAATTTAAATACGGTTTGGACGTAGCCATGATTGAGCTAATTCGTTAAGTTTCGTTCGTCATCACATTATTCACAAGATAGTTCGACTTTGAGCCGTTGCCGTAATTTTGGGCGCATTAAATATTACCGAAATTTGATTTTAAACGGCGACATTGTGACCGCAAAGTCACGAACGCGACATGCGATACTTTTGTCGCGGCCACAAGATTGCCGGGAGCATCTGTCGCTTTGTCGCTCTTTTCATTTAAATTACAATTATTCTCTATACCTCATTGTTGCGGTCGCGGTGGACCTATGTTTACATGACACTTTCTTTTTTATTTTATTAACACGCAACAATGTAATGTTTTATAGAGAAGTACAATATAAAACTTGGTGTTGTTATTCCGTATAGAATGATGGGTGTCGTAATGGCTATAAATTTTCATAATAACAGTATGCTCTCCACAGATCCGTGTCCTTAGCACGAACCAGCGTCGTGAGTACAAATCATTCAATTTAAACATGAAAATGGTCCTAGAGAACAGTGGCCGGTATGGTGTATACCTATAAATTTAAATTGTCTTCTGTGCCTGTACTGGGAAGAATTTATGTCACTATTTATTGTATTAACATAAATTGGACATGAGTTATTTTATTAGGTTGAATGTAGTGGATGCTTTGTACAAAGGTTTTGATTGTGTATAGATCTGTCATAGATCGTAAATGCTGCGTTTGTTTACCCGAAGGTATCTTGGAAGAAGCGAGAATCAATAGATACATTTATTATTTAACATTACGATGATCTCTTGATAATAATAATAGTGGATCATGTGTACGATACATTAGTTTTAATGGGATAGTAATTAATCAATTCAAAAGAGCCGAGTCCATCTGTCCCGCATGGGTTGAGCATTGTCAATGGTCAACGTTATTGTTTCTACTGAACCATATACGGTTGGCAGACCAATAAAATTAATTATATTTCTTTGAATTAATTTTAGCCGTAGCTTTAACATTGATATTAACAGCGATTCTTCAAGTGTGCTATGAGGGTAGTTAACGTCACATTTACCTTTATTTATATTTGCTATTTTAATTCCATTAACGAAATACGTTTGAGTGAAATTCCTTTTTAATTTAATTAAAAAAAAAGTTGCGATACCAGACTTCCATTCAACTTTGGTGGTTCAATTACGACATACCTACAGCAACTTTTGTTGTTAAATAAGTGTTCTGTATTGTAACATGCACTCGATCATTCTTGTCCAAACATTGAAAGCGCTTAATTCCTTGTGGTTCTGTTTAACAAACCCTGTGGCTGCTGGACTGGACCCAAACAGCAGGGGGCCAGGGCTAAACGATGTCCCTAAATTTAATTTAATAATCGCAT